ACGGCACTTTGTATTTAGAAAACTTTTAGACATATCTTTCACTAGTAGAATGCAGGCTCAAAAGTTGAAGTGTGTTGAGTTTTTGCTTAGAGTGTCAGTGTGGTAGGACCACAATCATATTCATATTGTCATTATTTTGATCTATATTTTTATATTCATCAAAAAAAATAATATTCGTCATCCTTTGGAAATCGAAAGAAACTCAGATTTTTATTTTAATAGGTGCAGTCTATAGCAGAACACCATTGACACTTCGTGCTAACCGAGCCGTGCTTGTCTGCGATCAACGAAAATGCCTTGAACAATGGACGCAGTTTGTTTTGTTTACCGCACGTTTCTCTACGATCAGCTGGTGACCCAGATACGCGCATCCGGGCGAAGTGCCGTCTCTCTAGTATTACTGTAAACTCTCTGGGCAAACCTGGAAGAACTGTTTTTGCACACATGACTGCTTCCAACTCAAAAGCTGCGCTAAATTCCTTGAGTAGAAGAGAACAAGTCACTGTCTGTTGCCTGCAAACACAACACATCCAACAGTTACAAATGTACTCAATCAGTAATCAGTGAAATGTCTTTCATTGTGCGTTTAGAAGATCTGAAGAACTAATTTCATGTCTTTGATTTTCATTTCTCTTCTTTATTTCACACAAGTATTTTATCTTTCCACTTTCTTCCCAGATCAAAAAGTACCACAGTCACCTAAAGGAGAGAGTAACAAAAGCCATAAGACATACAGAGTTGTGATGTATCAAGTCAAAAAACGTGGAGACAGAAGAGATAGTGGAGTAGTGGAGGAATGAAAGAGATTTTTTATTGCGCTCGTGCATTATCTCAATTTTCTGTTTTGTGTGATTTATGTCATAAGAAGAGCTAGGACTGAGTGCTTGTTCACCAGAAGGTGAGAAAAATGTCGTGTGTGTGGGTACAAAGTACAAATGTAGTAATTTTTGTCCTATCTTTTCTTATCTGAATGCAATGATGAATGTTTTGAGATTTGATCATGAACTGTGTCATGTGAAAAAGATTTAATCAGGATTCCTATTGTTAATGTTTTCACCTGCCTTATACCAAATTTATATGTTTTATTCTCTAGCAAAATATGTAAAAGCTGAGAATGTCTTCTGATTTTTAAAAGAACGACAGAGAGTAGTTTTGCTTACTACCTTTTGTGTTGATGTAAAACACAACGGAAAGAAGAAATTATAGGAAACGTGTATGATGTTGGTACCAGAAACTAATAATGGGACGTTTGACTTTTTATTGCGACATGCAACATTCCAATGAAGAAATTCAGTGTTTGATGGCTGTTGACTTTCTCCACTCAACACACATGCTGCTGTGGTTCTGATTATGAGTAATAAGTTTTAGGTTTTCAAGAGTAGAGTTAGATGTACTGTCTTTTTCAGCCAATTTTTCCTTTCTTTGGGGGGGGGAGTGTTGAAATGTTACTCTTATTTAAAATTTCTCCTGCTCGTAGAGCCAGTCAACTCCCTGTCCATTCTCCTAAAGGTTGTGAGGAGGGGGGCTATGTGACTGACTCCTTAACCATTTGTATACATTGTTTTCTTGTCAACACCTGAGTAGGGAAAAGCGAGGCTTGTGGTTTCATGGATGGACAGGACGAGCACATGCACCACAAGCAGACTGTTCAGTCGAAATCCTGATTTTCAGACAAGGGCAAGAGAAGTGTTGAATCAGATCCAAAGTTTGTAGTGTTGTTGACTTGATCAGTCCTCAGCACCAGTGTAGTGTGAGCAGTTATGCTTTTTTGTGGAACATATGTGAGGCAGCGTGGTGGAATCAGGCTCTCGTCAATTTCTGGGCATGTAGAGTTATAATTGGTATCATCTTAAAGTAAGTTAAAGCTTGTTCACTTGTCTTTATTTGGATGAAAAAAAATATCCATTTATCTTGAAGATAAGTCTAGATATTGCGAAAGAAGGAGGTGGGGGTCACTTGTTTTCAGAGGTAAAATTAGTGAGAAAATGGCCGCCCAAGATTAGTTATTTCCTTAGCTTAAGAGTCCATGGTAACTGAAAATTTACATTTTTGTGCCTTTTATCAACGTTTTTCAGAAAAATCCGCAGAGAAATGAGTTCTTTAATGGGCATGAAAGGTGTTGAGCCAAAAAAACAAAAATTTGATAAAAATTCACAAACCTGCGGAAAAATGCAAGTTTCTTCTCGTCTATTATTTTGACGAGAGCCTGATTCCACCACACTGCCTCACATATGAGTAGAATAATTTTGTTTGCTATGAGTCGAGTGAGTGAGGGGAGAATATTATCTTTCTAGTACTTTGACTTTAGGCTAGTGGATAGACAATATTATGACATGTTCCAGTACTGAATAGTAGCCTTAGATGCTATTTTAGAATTCAGAAGTGAGCGGAGATAAAACCTGCTTATTTTCTCTTGGTCTTTAGGGGTTACTTTTGCATGCTTCTGGGGAAGCCGAGAATGTTTCGGCGTCGTGTTTTTAGTCTTCTGGGCTAATAATATTTGTAAAGAACATAGTGCATGCTTTATAAGTGCAATTATTTATATTATCATTAATATTTTTTTAATAATTACTCATACATTGATGTAAACTTACTTGTGAGAATATTAAGACAAAAAAGAAGTGTTTTTACAACAACTTAGGTTTTTCCTAGAATCTGATTTAATGCCATTATTTTATTCTTAGTATGCATTTCTTTAGAGAAACAATATTCTCTTTTTAAATTCATCTATCTTTATTTTTCTATCTTATTATTATTATGTACTCATGATGCTTTGTGGACACGGAAGAATGCGACATGACTCACAAAGTTGACAGCATCTCAGATTGTTTGATCAAGTTTTACATAAAGTATTCTTCACAAGGAATCTCAATATTTTCAGGACTACCCTTGCTTTATTTTGTACTGATTTGGAATTGGAAGCATTAAATTGAATTTTTTAAAACAAGCTGTGTGTTTTGGAACTTCAATACAGGGAAAGCCATTTCAAAGAGAGCTTCCTTTGCTGGCGTGCTCATTATATTATTTTCTGAAATGGACTGAATGTTTCTCCAAACTCATGCAGTTGTCATCAGTGAGATGACCTTCCAAGTTACAAGACGCCACGGGCCCTGTACTGCCGTCAGCTGACGAAACGCCTTTTTGTGGCGTCGGTGGCCTAGTGGTTAGGCTCTCGGACTCGCAACCGTAAGGTCGTGGGTTTGAATCGTGTCAGGGGCGCGACGTTGTGTCCTTGGGAATGGCACTTTACACAAATTTTCCTCACTTCACCCAGGTGGGAATGGGTACCCGGCTATAGACAGCGAAAGATCTTGTCAGTTTGTTAGTGTTTGAGCGCTTAATCAGCTGCTTGCACTGTATGCTTCCCAGGAAGCTGAGAATGTTTCGGAGTGTTCTATGGTCTGCTGGGGTAATAATATAGTATACAGCGCGTAGAGCCTGCTGTTGAGCGGGGATATGCGCTATAAAATGCTATTTATTTATTATTATTTTCTTCATAGCAGTTTCGAGAAATAGAGGTTTTTTGTCGGCGTAATCATTTTTAAAGATAGTCATTCAGAAATTTGGATTTTAATTTATTTTAAAAACTAGTCAGTTACAATTTGATTTTTTCACACAAGTAGGGTAACTGATCAGGCTTTCGATTAAGAAAATAAAAAATGTTGGCGCCAAAATGAAAAAAGATGTTTTGTCAGCTTACGGCAGTGTACTACTGTATTGCCTGTAGCTATAATAATAGAAGAACACTGATACATTACCTGCTCTCGAATTTTAAATCTATGATGGGTTGGGTTTTTTTCTATAAAAACAGATTTGATAATCCAGTCTTGTACTGTACTGAAGTCTCTTCAAACACTTTTCATTGAGTTCCCAGCTTATGTGCTTCCTTAATGTAACTGCTCTGTCATTTTCAGTTGTTTAAATCTAAACTTTGAATGGGACTCGGACTAACGTATCGGCAAAATACAAACGCCAGCCAAAGTGAACAACTCATTACTTTGAATTTGAAGGCTACCAGACTCGTAAACATGAGGTTTGAGGCTCGGGCCTGACATTGTGCCCTTGGGAAGTGCACTTTACACCTGAATTTCCTCACTAAACTCACTTCACCAAGGTGTCAATGGGTACCCGTCCATAGACAGGGAAAGATCTTGTCATATATAATATGTTAGTGTCTGAGTGCCTGTAAAGTGGCTGCTTGCACTGTATGCTTCCCAAGAAGTTAAAATTGTTTCAGAATGCTATCATATCAGTATTTTAAGGTAATAATATAGATTGTGTTGTATAGAGATTGCTGCTGAGCGGAAATTTGTGTTATAATGCAAATGCTATATATTTGTTTATTTTTTATTATGATTATAAATGGTATATTTTTTTTCTCGTAAAATTAACTTTTAGAATTGAACTTGAAAAGCCCAGCAGTCTCATCAAAATTTTTGTTTATAATTTGTTAATGAAGGTAATAATGTTTTAGTTTTACAGGCCCATGGACACAATCTGGAGACACTGGATCATTTAGGAGACGGGCAGCTTCTACTTCTACTCTGTCTGTCAGAGCCTACCTGGGCTGAGAGTGGTGCAGTGTCTTCTTAGTAGACAGAGACATACCTTAGAAAAACCTCCCCACTCCAGAATCGAACTCGCTCATATGTGTGGTGCGTGGCAACAAAGAGCTTAGCCATTATACTATGGATGGCAATGGATGCAACCTTAAAATGGCGCGACAGTGTAAAATAGTGGATTGCTTGTTAATGTTATGAAACGTTTTTCTTCTCTAAAAAGCAGATTTCAAAATTCAGCAGCCATCCCTTTTTCTAGATTTCTACAAACATTTCGAAGCAGGATGAAAAATAGGAATGGTCTTGTAATATTATATATTATGCACAATGTCCATGCTCCGCCTTAGCAGTTGGAACTTGAAAGAGAGGAGGCACGCTCAGGAAAGATTTTTAATCCCCACTCAGCCAGACCACTCGGAGAGAGAAGAAACCAGGGTCAGCAAAGGAAAATTTCTTCTAATACTTCTCTTTTGAACGGAGAAAACAAGTTAAGATAAAAGCGATTACCCATAATACTTATATAAGGTATAACTGAGCTTAAGTTCAGCTGCTTGTGTTGACAAAATATCACATTTTTGAATCGACAGTCAACAGCCTGGCACAACAAAAATTTTTTATTTAAAAATTCATTTAGTTGGAGAAAACTCATTCAGTGCAGACTAGAATAAAAATGGTTTACAAAATTTCCTGTTAGAACTTACAAGTTTGGCTTTGTTTTTGTGGTAGACTTTCAGTCTCAATTTCTAGCACAAGCACACTGAATCTTTGGATTTGCGATACACACTAAGAAAACTTTCTCCTCTAAAGATCTACATGTACACCTGCCTCTGAGCTCAACGCTTTCGACTTCAGTACATTGTATAGCTTTTGGAAGTGGGTAAGCATTTCAAAGTAATGCAAAGTTGCTTCTAAAAACAACAATGCCGCCATGTCCATCACTCCCAGCAGTGCTGTTTCTAAAAATATTTCAAGACACAAGTATCCAGAAATGATAATGCCCTATTCTAAAACTAACCAAAAAGCACTTTGATTACATGTACTTCAATGATTAGATTAACAGTAACAGAATAACAAAATAAAGATGCTCCCATCAGACGATATCATCATATCCCATTCAGCATCATTTTTGAAGAAGACGTGTCAGGAAAACATTTGCAGTTTCTTTGAGTTTGGGGCTTTTACTTTTCTTAACTACTGAGCTTTTGATTTTAAGTTTTCTTAGATGAGTATTGATCTCTATAACTATAATTAATTCAATTACCGGTACAATACATACTTGTAGGCCCATTTTAACCCTTTGAAGAGCGCTTTTGAAGTTTTGAAAGTGACCAGAATAAGTTGAACCAACAAAAAGCAAAAACTGCAATAGTTTCTGGCTAGATCTATATCTTTCTGGGCCAAAGCTGCCAATATACAGTGTGAAATTCCATCCGATATTTGTTAAGAAAGCATGGTTTTCTGTCATACTTTTTAATAAACATAAAAACAGCAAAAATCTAACTATCTGAACCCCGCGGGGCGGTGCCTCTGACTGAAGTGTCTTTAAGTTTAAGGCCATTCCCAAAGGGGGGACATTTCTCGTTCATGCACAGTAAAATTGTAAATGGGCTGATTCATCAATGTCACTCATACATGTAACTGTGCCTGATCTACAACAGGGAACTGCTGCTTTTTCTTTCCTAATCCTAACTAATGTCATTTTTTCCTCTACTTCTTTTGTATGTTTGTCACACTCTGTGACCCTCTATTTAAAGGGTGCCTTGAAAGTCAAACAGACTTTGCGCTGTTGAAGCTAGAGGTGAGCAGAGTAAGCCTGATTCCCTGTAAAGACTTCTCTGTTGACACCCACCCCTTGGCGCTCATACTCATATGACCTTATGCAGTTGCAAGTGCCGTAAAACCACTACTAAATTTGTAATAAAGTAATCATCGTCTCATGATCTAGTGCTTTTGTTGGTCACAGACGCTGTAAAAAAACTATCATGGCTTCCAAGGTCCTATCATAATACCTGTAAGAAAAGCACAGATTATGTTGCAATCAAAAGTTGGATCACTGAAGTACTGTGTACAGCGTGAGCCTAGAACTAGATCTATTCGTTTCAGTATTTTTTTAACGCCCGTCATAATTGTGATCCTGTTTATTTACAGAAGTGTACCTCAGGCTCAGAATAAAGAAGGGAGTTGATTCCAAAACACTTTGCAGATGTCCAGCAGAAAAGGACACTCAAACTCGACTGACAAATATGTACACAACAAAAATAGTGAAGCATTCTTGGGGTGGAGAAACCCAGCGGCTGACACCTGAATATTAACACTCCGTCAGCGAAGATCAGCCACGCTGATCACTCACTTCACTCATAGTAAAAACTGCAGCCCATAACATTTAATGCAATTGCCCACCAGTGACCAGGAAATTTGGTTAAAGTCCTTATGAACATTGTCATTAACCCTATCCGTACGTCATATTTTACTATCGTATCCATGCCTGGGGACCTTTGTGCCACCACTTTCCAAAGAGGAAATTTACTCGTTAATCCGATCCGTACGCTTTGCATAGCAGTCTGTCAAAATGATTGTTTGAGAAATTCGGAAAGTTTCAGAGATCTTCGTACTAAAAGTGCATGTACAGTGGAACTCGGATTCAACGAGGTCGCCGGGCCTGACCTAAAACCTCGTTGAATCCGAGTGTTCGTTATAGCAAACACTAGGCTTTGTGTAGACAATTACAGGCACTAAGCAAGTAATGTATAAAGAGAAGTCACAAGTAGTTCCTGCAATGCCTGCATATTATTATTATGAGCTGAGTAAAAAAAAAAACGATTCGTTCAAATGCCCACGCCTGTGTCATCTCGACTGTTTACGAGGAAAAATTTGTGTTGCTGTGTAGAGCCTAGCATACGGCAACTTTTGATTCCATAGACCAGCACACAATTCATTACGTAGATCTAGCTCAAGACTAACTTATTATTGTGTAATAATGATCAGTTGCCGAGGGGGAAAAAAGACTGGCACGTTTGTATATATGCGACGTTCAACACCCGGACCGCTAGTGCCCCCCCCCCCTCCCGACACGCAAACACAGCTACACGTGTGAAGGCCACCCATCCGACCCCGACACTCGCCAGAGTAGACACGTGCGCGTGCCAACAACACATGTGCTGGTATTTTAAAAGGCCGCTGATTGGTCGCATGCAATCGGCTAAGTGAATAATGGTTCACAATGCAGATGCAATGGAAGATTTCCCGGAATAGATCAAGTTCGTTCTGGGAGAAAAATGAGCGAAGCCACGTCTACGGGGGCTGTTCACCCTGGAAGCGACCTCGTTGAATCCAAGCTCGCTGATTTAAGTGCTCGTTGAACCCGGGTTACTTTTATTGATTTTAAAGAAAGGAAAAAACGGGGGATCTATCTCATCTCGTTGAATCCCAGCACTGTATTCATATGTGAACAATACAACCACAGGGGTATAAAATGACCCCAGGGCGTACAGATAGGGTTAAATAATCTTCGACATTCATTTTGCTATAGTGTGTTGAATTCCTCTCATGGCAAGAAAACCCACAGCAAAAGGAAAGAATACACTCCGAAATGCTGAAGAGAATAAAACTTGGGACGAACCCAATTCTAACCTTCTGTCTTAGCATAAGCCACACATGTTAGCTTCATTGAGGTTTATGTTGTTTCTTTTTTAGTATAGTAAGAGTTTTGCAGCACATGCAACATAAATAAGTCAGATAAAAGCTGAAGACTAGAGGTGTTACTAGAGAGTAGTAACATACAAAGAAAGGGGAAGAGCATGGTTGATGTTTGATATGAAAGGACAAGCAAACCACACCATAGCATGCTCCCACCACACACAAGGTTGTGGGTTGCAAAACATTTTCTAAATAAAATACAAACAAAATTTTTTAAAATACAAAACTGAACAACAAAGTGTGCATGAATTCATCACTTGCTTTATTTTTTATTTGAATTTTTAATGTATTACACCCACTCCTCTCTGGCTGAAGGCAGACAAAAGGCCCGCCAGATAGAAGGAGAAAGAAAACAGTAAAATACAATCTTGTTAGGCCTGTAGAGGCCTGCAGTGTATCTTCTGTGTGATACATCTATGAAAAGGTAGTCCCACGACACCCTTCTTTTCCCCAATCAAGATTCGGTGTACATTATACCACAGGGACAACAGACATTCATTATCCTTCACCAGTGAGAATGTCACATAGTTCGTGGTTCAAATCTTTTTAAAAAAAAAAAAAAAAAGATATAAAAAAAATAACCCAGACATCAAAGATGCTTACTTCTTAAAAGTCATGCAAACGATTCAGTCCTCATACTTTATTGGTGCGGATAAACCGTTGTTTCGCTCTTCTGAGCCGTTCCTTTGAGATAAATCTGTCGAAAATTAAGTCTGAACGATAATTGTCGTCTGACCAGTCAAAAAGCAACGAGAAGGCAGAGCAAAGTGGACTTCTTTTCCCCCTCCCATTCAGTTCCCATGTTCAGGAGGGACACTTGAAGACAGCCACGAATGTAGAGGAAAAAACATAAAAAGAAAGCTAGAGAAGGAAAAGAAAAGGCAAAAAGACGTCATCTACACAACAATACACAGGACAAGTTATTTCCACATGAGCTCAAGAAAAACAGCTTGGTGAAATTCTTGAGTCAGAATCTAAAACGACCCTTGGAGAAGGAAGGTTTTTTTTTCTTCTTCAAAATTTCCAAAAACAAGAGGGGGAGAAATGCATATATGAGCACTAACAAGTAGAATACAGAATCCAAAGTAATTTTTTTCTTTACATCTCAGCTTGCTGACTCCACGTCTGCCATCTCTGAAACACAAAAGTGATATATCATTACTGGGTGTTTTCCTTGGTCCATTTCATGCTAAAACACGGTCAAAATTGTCTTACACTGCCCAAAGGAAAAAAGGATTTTTAAAAGACAGGTGGACTTCTTGCACACTGTCATTATCTCGCTAAAAAAGATGCAAGGGAGGGAAATAAGAAGTGGCCCTGTTTTTTCTGTCCGCAAACTATAAACAAGAAGGAAAATCTGTCTGTATGAAAAGGCTGACTTTTGCCAAACACTACGGAACTTAGACACAAATACCCGGTATTAATGAAAGGCGAAACTGTTGCCTTTAATATTTGACCTTGTTTTCAAGTGAAGGTATACAAATTCTATAAGTCTTCAGCTCTTGAAACCATTGCAAAACATGATGACTCCCTTGGGAGAAAGCAGAATTTTTCAAGTCCAACAAATCAGACCATGATATCACAGTGCCAATTGGAAACTGAAAGAGACTGTTGTAAAAGTCAAGAAAAGGACCATAAAAATCCCCTATAAGGATTAAAACTAACATCCTTTTCAAGCATTAACATCAAATATTAGAGAGCAATCTGTCCTTGTGGGTCCTCTCAAAGTACACCCATCCCAGAACTGCACAGCAAAACGATTAGCCTGTGATACTAACTCATGAACTTGTCAAGAAAAGACATTGATTATAAAACTGTCGGGAAACAAATTACCACGAAGAAATTGAAATTCAGTTCTTTTAGAGGGTTGAAAATGACATTTGGAAGCCTTTTTGGAGAGACGGCCAACAACCCATTACATTTTTTTCACCAAGATTTCGTCTTGTTTGATTTCTCCATCAACAAATCTTTCCATTGCTGGCAATGTTTAAAAGCACGTCCTTATCACCCTCCCATAGAATCATTGCACTGACAATTTCTCTAGATCTACACAAATTTGCAAAAAAAAAGTTTATTTCCGACAGTGATTTTTTTCTACAATAACAAGTCCATTTACTTGACCAAAGCGCAGATTTTCCAGCCGCTGCAATAATCTGAAGATAAACAGAAAGAATGAAAGAAAGAAAGCAGGAAATTGGCACAAAAAGTTCGTTATCATGGCTAGCCAGATTTCGATCAATTCAGATAAAAATATATTGCCGACCAACTGCACATTTTTACGGATGGGGAGCATGTACGGAAGAGACAGAAAGTACTGATTTCTCCCAAAATACGGAAGATTGGGAGCACTGTTTCGGATTAACTGTGTTCAGTTTGAGCAGACTCCCCTATAGCTCGCTGGAGTACCTCATACCTCATTGTCGCCTTGGTCAGATGGAGCCGGTGTCATGTTGGGGTTCCACAGCGGAGGATTCTGGGAATCTCCCGCTCCACTCTTGGGTGGGAACATGGGCCCGATGGGGAAATGGCCGCCATTGCCATACATTCCAGGCACCATCATGTTGGAGGCCTGGAACGGGGAAGAGAAAGGAAAATCACATTACAACATCCACTCAGGTGGCAGACATAGCACATTAGAAACTCAGATAGATAGTATGTTTTCTGTTTTGAGTTCTTTGAGAGAAAAGAAGCACAGCAACACAACTAAAGTAATCAGGTGTACAGAGTAAGTAAGTTTAGTTTTAGTAAGAGATTGTTTTAGTAGAGGTTTTATGGCGCTCGCAACAACTGCATATGGTCATATGAGCGCCAAAGTAAGAGTTTAACGGCACTTGCAACACAATAAGGTCATATAAGTGCCAAAGATTAGAGGTGTTACAAGAGAGTAACAAACACAAAAAAGAAGAAGAGGAGATAAAGACGATAGACGTTTGATATGAAAGAAGAAGCAAACCACATCAGAACACCCGCCAACCACACACACGGAGAAAGTAAGACAGACAGAAATATTAACAGAGAAAAAAAGTATGACTTATCTGTTAAAACACAAAAAGATCAATGCTAACACAACTACCTGAATTAACAAAACAATATCAATAATTTTTTTAAAGTTTTAACATTCTCTACTGTAAGACGAGAGCGCCATTTCAACCAAAGACTGTGATCCAAAGCACAAGCAACATAGTAACGAGCCATGAAAATAAACCTGTCTTAAGTTCCATAACCACTAATTGGAGCAAATAGTGACTGAAAATTATGACTTCTTGTGATTTGTACTACAATCACTCTTTAGAATTCTTCTTTGTTTTTAAAAAAATAAAATTTGTATATTCAATGTAGTATGTTATTTATTCATACTGGGGTTTTATTTCCTAAATTTTGGCACATGAGATGATTTTGCTTTCAAGGGCCGACATGTCAATAAGTTACCACAAGAGGGTTTAAAGTTAAATACAAAACAACATAATGGTGGTCATACAAAGTTAGGAAACAAAAACACAACAAAACAATAAAAGAATAAATAAAAATGTTTTAAAGTAGGATTCAGCAGTTGATTTCACAACACCTCAAGTAAGTGATGAAGAAAGACAATCACAATAGGGCAGAATTCTGAAGCAAAAATACAGCTGCAGAAAGCTTCAAATACATGGTGGTATGCCATTCACTGAATCTGAAATAAATAAATTTTTGTTCCCACATCACCAGAAGGGGGACATTAAAAGTTGTTCTAAATTTCCTCAAAATCACCTTTACACAGTACAACTGCAGTGTTCCCACAGACATGAATTACTCAGTCTCCTTAATGACGTCACCTTGACGGTACACACAGTGACCTTTTGAGATATTCCATTCCAGGGTAGACAAAGTGTGTCTTCTTCTTCCCCCCCCCAGCAATTAACGACTATCTATGTATCATGTGCCTCTGTTTCCTCAAACAAACACTGAGACCACCCATCCTCTCACATGAGTTATGTTCTTTTCTCCCTTCCCCCCAAGCAAATAACTATTTATGCTTTCCACCGTGGCAGTGCCACTGACTGTAGTGTCTTTAGGCCATTCCCTAAGGGGGGACATTTCTCGTTCAAACACAGTAGAATTGTAAAAGGGCTGATTCATGTCACGCTCATGACTGTACCTGATCTACAACAGGGAACTGCTGCTTTTTCTTTCCTAATCCTTACTATTGTCATTTCCTCTACTTCTTTTGTATATTTGTCACTCTCTTGTGACCTGCTACTTCCGGGGTGCCTTGATAGTTGAAGCAGACCTTGTGCTGTTGAGGCTAGAATGGTGAGCAGAGCAAGTCTGATTCCCTGTAAAGACTTCTCTGTTGACACCCACCCCAGTTGCGAGCGCCTTAAAACCCTCTACTATAAAAAAAACCCCAAAAAAACTATTTATGCATCACGTGCTTCTCTTTCCTCAAACAAGCACTGAGACCACCCATCTACTCACACGAGTCATGTTCTCCCTCCTCCCCCCCCCCTCCTCCCAAGCAATTAACGACTCTATTTATGCATCATGTGCTTCCGTTTCCTCAAGCAAGCACTGAGACCAGCCATCCACTCACATGAGTTATGTTATTGTGGTCGGCGTCACCAGAAGCTATGCCAGTAGCGTCGTACTGCACAGGCCCCTGCAGCCCGTAGTCAAGGCCCTCATCACCAGATTCGTTCATTCCGTGATGGTAGACCATGCCACCCCCGGGCACTGTGGATAGAAACATCAACGCTAGGCTATGCTCCTTACAAACCCATCAACTCGACTGTGTGAATGCAAAATATCAATGATGTTTGTTTGGAGGGAGGGAGGGAGAGAGAGAGAGAGAGAGAGAGAGAGGGAGAGGGAGAGAGAGAGAGAGAGAGAGAGAGGGAGAGAGAGAGAGAGAGAGAGAGAGAGAGAGAGAGAGAGAGAGAGAGAGAGAGAGAGAGAGAGAGAGAGCATATGTCAATATGCGATGACAGTGGCTGTAACCATTGGTCAGTTCAGAGTAAACCAAAACGCACTTTTATAGCCTTTGCCTTCAACTCAAGCCACGTTAATTTCTTTTTTTTTAATTGTTTTTGTTACCATGAACATGTGCTGCCCTACTACCATTATTTTATAACATAATAAAATCATAGTGGTGTGTAAATATAAGATATCAGGGGTTAGTTGACTTTGTTCCCAGTCTGTATCAGGCCAGTATCTCCACATACTTGTGATGGTCGACAAAACTTCACAGTAAAAGTTGCGGGACAGCTTTCACAAAATCATATCTTTTCGCGCTCGCCCCTTAATCATTATCAGAGGAAGAAAGAATACATACGTCAATGTAAAACAATACTAACTAAACATTGTTTACATTCAGAGAGAGCAAACCAATATTGACACCAGTGTAATCACTCTGCTCTTGAATAATACTTCAGTTTCCACAGTTACATACAACTTCTCAAAACTTTTTCCATGCATTTATTCATCACTAATTAAAAAAATAATGAAATGCAAGAAACTATTAACAGTGGACCAGAATCCTTGGCATCAAGAAATTGCTAACACAGCCGACATGAAGCTATATTTAATGCAATATATAAAGCAAAAGCTGACATTATCCGGGTCCCCTGACTGGCAAGTTAATAAATTTACAACTACTTCCAGCAACAAACTTTATCACTTAAGTACAACAGTTCATCTGGAACAAAGGCATGGAAATGTGGTGGCATTTTGGTTAACACATTACACCCTAACTCGCCCGGGAATTCCCTTACGCGCTCCACCCTGACTCGCCCGGAACCGCCCGCGCCGACCCAGCGTCTTTAGAAACGAAAGTCTCGCCTTGACGAGACTCTGGGGCCGGGATTTTGATTTGCATAGTATAGCAAAAAGTTTCTTCTTTCGTTTGATACCGAAACGAAATTTTTTGGGCTAGTAGTTTTAGTATTAGAGCTGATCGAAGTGCTATCGCGTTACCGACACTTCGAAAGTGCCTCGACTTGTTGAAAAGCGACACAATTGGGTTCGAAAACGGAAATAACGATGGATTTGAGCAAAAACGAGCATGTGACAAATCAGATGGCTCAGATTTTGATGAAAACGTTATAGGAAGAGTTTGGGGCGATTCCGATTGATCAGACGGAGAAATTATAGAATTTAGATCTAGGGCCCGACCGCGAGGCTGAGAGTGAGAGTGACGAGTCGGACACCCCGATTGAACTAAAGTGAGAACATTTCCAACAGTTTGCGCATACATAAAGTTATATTTTTCTGAAACTACATTCAGTTTTCTTTTTAACTTTTATTTTTTCAGGATTTTTGGAATTTGTTTAGTATTTTTAAAATGTGTTTTTTAAAGGCTGGTATTCAGGGGAGGTGGGTTCTTTCCCCTTGCTTAGAATCTAGGAATGGACTTCCCGTCCAGGCCCTTAGGGTGTAATGTGTTAAACAATATCAACAAAACAGAGGCACTGGTTAGACACAACAGTCCTGGTTTTAAAACATAATCTACAAAGAATAAACAGTAAAGCAGGGCTGTAGAAAAAATTCACATTGACTAATATATCCATATCTTATGTAACTTTAGAGTCCAAACAATGATTGATGATTAATTTTTCTGTCCAAAATCCACTTCCTTGTCCACTAGTAAACCTTTTTCCCAGTCATTTCCATCAATTTTGAGAATCTCGTAAATATTGACGAGGAAACCAAAAGAAAATTCATCAATACAAAACACAGCGGCTTACTACTCTTTCATCGCATATAATAACACACAATCAGAACTGATACTGGCGACATGAACAAAGAACAAATTCTACGGTAGTGCCAGGGAGGTGCGGAGCTTATATGAATGTTTTCGTCAAGCTTCAAAGACAGGGAAAAAGAGAAAAATAAACATGAAGCTCTAGACACTTTTCTTTGTACTGACCAGCACTGCATGTTTTTACCACACTGACATACAAATCATTCCCCTGCAGGTAGTTTCCTCGCCAATACTGTCAAAGAAACACTTCTTTAGAAAACAAATAATATGACAATAAATACTCATGATCTTATGAGCTGTGCCCTTTTTTTTCTTCCATGAGCGCCCACCCCAAAACAAAAAAAAAAAAAAAAAAGCACCCACATAACACACCTGAGGCAGCATTGTTGAAGCCCCACAGGTTACCAAAAGAGGCAGCGTTGGGGGCAGGAGCCGGTCTGCCAGAACCCCTCTTCCGCTCACCCCCTATGGGCTGAATGTGCTTGTTCATCTCCAGTGGTGGAGTGCGGCTGGACACGGGGGAGCCACTACGTGGAGGCCCAATGGGTCCCGGATCTGGGATTGCAGAAAGTGAATGTTGATCAACATGTGTGTTCCCTTTGTGTATCTTCTCTCTACACATCTTTTTTTTTGTTTGTAAAAAGTGTTTTATGGCTCTGCATAAGGTCATATGAGCGCGTGGACAAATTCAACATTTTCAGTTGGTAATGACAGTTGGAATTTGCAGCAAATTTCACTTTAAAAGTTTATTTTTCTCATCTACCTCTTTTCGTAACTGCAATTTGAACAGTAGGCTTAATGTATTGTGTTTTCTCTTCCGACATTTGCCAGCTTGCTTAATCTGCCGAACAATCATACTGAATAAATTTATATGAGCAGATCAGCACACTGTACTGCACTCTGCGCTAGTAAAGAGAAGTGATAAAGTTCAATGCCGTGAAACTTCATGAACCAAACCACATCCACTATGTGCTCATGTGTTCTATATCTATGTGAACTAACTTCGCAAAGAAAATAGGTTGTGACTAACCGAAGGTCAGTCGACAGACACACATTGGCTATCTTTTTTTTTAGTAGGTCTGTACAAAGTGTGTTGCAGTATTGATATGTGTGATAGATGCAGGCAAAGAACACACTAACAAAGGCTCTCTCTCTCTCTGGTCCAAAATTTTTACACATATCCCTCAGAATTCTTTTTGCTTTACAAATGGAAGCATTTCTGCCAATCTACAGTTATCTCACAAAGACAAAGAAGGAAATAAATAAGGGATTTTATTTTCATTCGGTTTACCGATGGTTTAGGATTGACCATGTTCAGTTTTAATGGACTCCATTGTATGTCCCCTCAGACTATAATCCTCCCCACTGTCAAACTGCTGACTAATGCTTCTTCTTGAGTTTCAAAATTATTTAAAAGAACTGCTTCAAAACATTTCTGAGACCAGACATTTCACGTTTAGCTTGTTTTAAGTTCAAAGCACCCTATTCTGAACGACAATATTCTTTTACCCGGACTCTGGCACTTTGGTTCAACAGCAAAGGCAGTTTGAGCTCGCTCAAATGTATGTAAATAAGCAACCTAAACCTACCAAATCGTTGCCTCAGAACTACCGTGTCCAAATTGTACTTTACTATAGACAGAGAGCACTTTGGACAAATTAGTTCTCAGGCGACAAAATGTCTAACACGTTGAACATTAAAAAACCCCAACCTTCATTACCCCTCCCCTGCAGCTTAAAAAAAAATTTTTTTTTAAATTATGTTGTCTTCACAAACTGAAATAGGAGTAAAAGATGCTTCGCTTCAAGTGGTGAGATCAGTCCTGCCTGTTTCAAGGCAGGAAAAGCTCAAAGTAAACCAGTCTGTGCCAGAGCCAAGCTTCATACACGGTATTTGTGAGTTTTGATCATTGTAAGTTGTACATGTTAGTCATACGTTATGTTGTACATGTTAGACACAATTAAGAATAAAATAATCACAGTGAGCATCTATCATTGGGAGCTCGGCTTACATAATACATAATTTAATCCGAAATCGCTTTATTTAGGAAAAAAACCTTGACCAAAACAAAACTTTTCATTCTCATGGTCGAATACGGTCTACAAAACTTGAAAAGTTACTTGTATTTGCTTGGCTTTCTTTTCTAACTAATATTTCCTATTAACACCAGTACTCACATCTTTCTAAACTATTGTTCAATAGAATGAAGCTCCCAATGACATGAAACAACTTACACTGACAGATAAATGAAAACTGAGAACAGTAAATATAGCATCAAACGGACATTTTGTTCTTACGAGATCACTGACATAAAGTACACTCAAAGAACAAGCAAGCACCCACCTGGCTGCACGGAGGGCGCACTACTGGGTCGACCAGACAGATTCTGCAGCGGGGAGTGAGGCCGCGGCGGCTGGTTCTGAGACTGGGACAGGAAGCTGGACGGCCCGCCTCCCCCAGACATCATCCCCGGCGGCCCAATCAGGCCCTGGGGAGGGGATCCGTGGGGCTGGCCGGCCTGACCCATGCCAGAGTTGAGGCTGGAGGAAAGGCGGGAGGTCCCCAGCTGAGGGGGGCTGTTCCCTCCTCCGCCACCGCCCCCACCCATGGCCACCGCTGCTTGACGAGCATGCTGCAGCATGTACTGGAGGTTGGGGTTGCCCATCAGGTCCGGGTTTTGCTGCATCATGTGAGGCAGGGAACCTGGGAAAAATAGGGCAACACTTCGTCAGACAAAAACTAAAAATACCTGGGAACGTCTCTTTTTTTTTAAAGCACATATGTTATTTCAAAAACAAGCACGAGTCTTTTCTCATTTCGTCTCCCTCACACACAAAATGTAGATAGGCAGGCATCTTCCTAACAATTTGGAAAAGCTAATCTTTGAAGTGGCAGACACACACACACACCCCCAAATAAACAAACCCCTTTACACCTACTCTGTGTTATCTCTTTCACGTCTAAGTAGAACAAGCATGTACACCTCAACATTTTTCCCCCATGAGATGCCAATTGGCGACGGTAAGAAGCCGTCTTTCCCCCACAAGATGCCCATTGGCGACGGTAAGAAGCCGTCTTTCCCCCACAAGATGCCCATTGGCGACGGTAAGAAGCCGTCTTTCCCCCACAGGATGCCCATTGGCGACAGTATAATATAGCAACAAAAATGTTGCAGGAAAGCTCTTTTAGACTTTAGCACTTGTTCAACTCCTGTTTCGTTTGTTTACAAAAATAGGAGTGAAAACTTATGGAAAAATGTTGAGTAGACCTAGCACGAGTGCTACATTACAGTGTCGCCATGATCAGGATTTGGGTGCTAGATCTATGCGCAATACAGGTATAGTATTGTTTCACATCTGCTTTCTAGTACAAGGAGACTAAAGATTTTGCGCTCTGCGCGCTTCAAGTGGAAAAGGCGCAAACCAAAGCCATGTTGAATGACAAGATATCAAATGTAAATCATTAACAATAGTGCAATGTTTCAAAGTTGAGACTTACCCGGATTCAAGCCAGGCATGCCCGACCCTGGGTTGGGACTGGAGCTCGGGCTGAGGCCATCCGGTCCATTCTGGCCCATGGCCGAGCGGCCCACCATTCCCATCATGCTGTTGAAGAGGCTACTGGGTGGTTCAAAGCCATTCACCAGGGGCTGACCAGTCCCCGACAGCTGGAACTCCGGAGCGTTTGGATTGAGGGCACCTTTGATCTCGGGAAGAGTCATGGGACGATGCGGCTTGCTGTACTCCTCCTTTTGAGGCAACTGCTGCTGGCCGGGTGCCATCGGGATGCCTCCCATTCCCTGGTGTATCATGCCAGGGGGCAGCATGCCACGCGCACCCATCATGATCGGGTGGAGCAGCTGGTTGATCGCATGACTCTCCTGGTATCTCCTCAGAATGTAATCCTCCAGGTTGTGGTAATGGGAACCTCCGTGATGGATGCCACCTCCCATACTTGGGCCTCCAGGGGGGCCCGGATTCATGGGGTATCCTCTCATGTTCGGATCTTGTTCCGGTCGGTAGGGAGGGGAGTTGCCTCTCTGAGGGATCTTAAAACCAGGGGCCTTGGCTTGTAGTGCTGGGTCCACAGCGCTGTTGGCGATGGTGGCGGCAGGGTTGGAGGTCGTTTGAGGACTAGGGCTTGTGGTCACCACACCGGCGGCAGCAACACTAGCAAAGTCCATCTTGTCTGCCTGCTCGTCCTTCTTTGCCAAAAGATTGGTGAAGAGGTTGTTGTTGAAGGGAGAGTACTCGCCCGGGGGAGGCTGGGTGGCTGGGGCCGTGTTGCTGGACTGGTTCCGCTCTGGGTGGTTGCTACTGCCACTCGTCACAATCGGGAGAGGCATGGGTTCCATTCTAGCGGGAACAGCGCCGCTGTGCCGCTGGTAGCGGGCGCTTCCACCGTTTCCAGCGCTGGCATTGGCGATGCCGCCCGGTTTGCTGTGGCTCTGCAGTCTGGGGTCCTGCCCTTTGTTGACGCTGGCGCTAGAGACGACAGAGGCGCTGCTCACTACACCGCGGATGGTGGTGGTCGCCGTGGCCGTGAACGTGAGAGAGGCAGAGGAGGAGGTGACCGACACCGGGGAGCTGGACCGCTTGCTTCCTCGCTGCTCCCCAAACACCAGCTGGCGGGCCGAGCTTTTATCAGCGCTGGCAGGGGCTGACCTCCCACCGGCGCCAGACGCACTAGGCGTGACCTGCTTCTGCGGACTCCTGCGTGGCGAGGAAGGCGTGACCTGACCCGGCACAGGGTTCTGCCAGGCTCCGATTGTCGGCCCAATGGTATTGGAAGGGGTGGAGGCAGGACGAGAATTGCTGGACTGGGTGCCCCCTTGCCTGTTGGATTTAGCCTGAGCAGGGGATTTTCCAGCAGAAGAAACGCTGGTGCTATGATTGGAAGTGGTGGGCAGGGTGAAAGTGCCAATAGCAAAGTCAGCAATGGAGACCGGGGTCTTCTGCTGTTGGGGCTTCTCTGCCACTGGCTTATGGCTTTTGTTTGTAGCTCTCGCTAAAATTTCTGAGATGTCTTTATCAGGCTCCTCCACCATTGCATTGATCAAATTGTTAGCTTGCCGGATGGCATCAGGGCAACCCCTGTTTAGGAAAAATTAATCATGCTCAACATTAGGGAGGGTACTAAAACAAAACTTGTTTTTAAGCCAGAGAGCAGGATATATGCAAAGCAATAAGAATTCTCACCATTAATACTTATAAGTTCCTACTTTCTCAATGAGAACAATTTTTTTTTTAAATAACAAAAGCTATTCAAAATAATGTTAAAAACCTGTTAAGTTCTCAAAATTGTTTTAAATTTTCCAAAGCAGCAAATGTACAGTCATTTTTTTTAACTACTATAAATTGGTTTTGGTCATATATGTTATCAGTGCACAAATATTGAGTTGACCAGAGTGAAAACTGGTGGATCGCCAGGTACAAAACAATTTCATCCATACCATAAGTAAAGAAAATGTCGCCTTCAAGACCCTCATCTAATGCTTTACTTGGACAGAATAACAGATAACAGGGCTATGACAAGAACAATACATTTCATTCTAACAGCTACAACTTGCATGCCCTGACATCCACTTACTTTATGGTCACAGTCCTGTCAGAGTTCCCTTTGGCTTTCTCCACTTCAACATGAGCTCCTGAAATCTCTCGAATGGCATTGATATTGCATCCACCCTTTCCAATCAGCCGAGCCGTCACATTTGCTGGGACCAAGAGCTTTTTGGACCTTAAAATTAAAAAATAAAAATGTTCTTAATAATTTTTTCTCAAGGAACTCACACAGTAGAAAAAGCAACATTTGTTTTTTACTCAAAGAAGGCAAACCACTGTTTGTATTCGGTCTTTTTTTCCATCACCCAGTTTACGTTTCATTTTTTCACCTTTAGACCTGCATGTGAGCCTCAACCAGATTGTCTGAAAATTTTGCGCACCCCCCCCCCCCCCCCAAAAAAAAAGCCTTTGTGGGTGTCATAAGGAAGGATATCCGAGTATCGAGCGACCACCCCAACAAACACTTGATAAAGAAGAGACAACCCTAACCCTACCCCCAAAAAGAACCTGCAACGGGCCTCATGTAAAAAGGCCAAAACAAGTCCTAAATGGAAAAAAAAATTAAAATTAAAAAACCACACTCCAAAACAAACAAGGACCATGCTAACATCTACATTGCTATAGGGTTTGAAACAATAACACAATAGAATTGGAATATCATATATGAATACTCCATATATAGATCTAGATCTAGCAATCTAAATAAATCTAGATCTAGATCTAGATCTTGTAGAACAAGTGAATAGGAATAGGCCTTGAACTAGAAATCCGCATCCGATTCCAAACAGAGGGACTCAGCTGAGTCTAGATCTAGATTCTAGATCTAGAATCTAGATCTATATCTAGATCTAGAGTCTAGATCTAGATCTAGATCTAAATAAATAAATAATTCACGCACCTGATGAAATGCTTATTTTTACCAATACTAATATTACAGCACAACCTATGATAGGGATTGACACAATAGAATTGGAATATGAATCCTTCATTGAGGTCTATAATGATCTATATAAATCTAGATCTAGATTAGAACAAGAGAGTCGGACTTGAATGAATCCACACAATCTGAACAATTGAATTAGTCAACAAACGAAATTCAAAATGGCCGCTCGAGCACGAAACTGAAAGTACAGTAGGCCTAGATCATTTAAGTTGTCGTCCTTTTTCGTATTCGCATTTCTACATAGGTTCCGACAATTATGTCGGAGACGTCGGCAGTCGGCGGTGCGCACGTCGGCGGTGCGCACGTCGGCGGTCGGCACGAAAACGAAAGTGCCGACGAAGCCGACGGGTCGCTGGCAGTCGGCCAGGCCTCACACTACGCACATTGACTGATACAGGCGGTCTAGCGGTAGCATCGGCCGGTTCGCGGGTCGGGTCGCGATTGTCGGATTTCAGACGATTGTCGGCAAACATGCAGGTCTACACCTTGTACGTGAACATAAAGTGTCAGAGAACACAGTGATTTTTCCCAAAGTAATATGAAAAGTTACACTTAACCAAAAAGAATATTCTGAAAAATAACCAATTTTAAGGGTTGTATATTCCCACATAACACATGAACAATAGTTTGAACCACTGCCAATTAAATCTTAAAACTACTTACATATTTTTTCGAACAACTTCCTTCCAGCCTTCATCCTTCTTTTGCCCTTTGCGTGGACTTGGGGCTGTTGACGCCATTCTAATGGACGCAGGCTTTTCAATATACTTGTAGTCTTCAATCCACATTTCTTTCTTGTTGTCACTAAAGAAAATGGAAAGAAAATCTCTTTTTAAAAAGAAATCCAACCTATACTGAATAGGTGATCAGAGCACTAAATCAATCTAAACAGAGGTAGACGTCATTAGAAGCAATTTCATGTCTTTAGACAGAACAATACACAACACAATTCACCAGAACCATATGCAGCGACAAGAAGCAGGAGCAGACCACACCAAATCAAACACCGACCACCACAAAGCTACACACACACGAGACAGGCAGAGCGGGAGGAAGAAAGGAGCACTCTTCTGTATGGAACAATAATACCAGTACTTGGGAGTTTTTCGGGTACATTTTAGAAAGCATTATACAACACTAGCAAACAAAATTAAGTACTGAAAATTAGGTGTTATAAAAGAGCAACAAACAGAAAAAGGAGGAACAACGAGGACTATTGGGGAGGGGGGGAGAAGAGAGAGTACCCAGAACAACGGTAGATTAAGATTACATGACCTACCGGCCATGTATTGTTTGTTAACACATTACACCCTAAGGGCCTGGACGGGAAGTCCATTGTTAGATCCTAAGCAAGGGGAAAGAACCCACCTCCCCTGAATACTAGCCTTTAAAAAACACATTTTAAAAATACTAAACCAATTCCAAAAATCCTGAAAAAAGAAAAGTTAAAAAGAAAACTGAATGTAGTTTCAGAAAAATATAACTTTATGTATGCGCAAACTGTTGGAAATGTTTTAACTTTAGTTCAATCGGGGTGTCCGACCCGTCACTCTCACTCTCAGCCTTGCGGTCGGGCCCTCAATCTAAATTCTAGATTTTCTCCATCTGATCAATCTGAATCGCCCCAAACTCTTGCTACAACGTTTTCATCAAAATCTGAGCCATCTGATTAGTCATATGCTTGTTTTTGCTCAAATCCATCGTTATTTCCGTTTTCAAACTCAATTGTGTCGCTGTTCAACGAGTCCAGACACTTCCGAAGTGCCGGTAACGCGATCGCACTTCGATCAGCTCTAATACTAAAACTGCTGTCCCGAAAAAAAAGAAGAAACTTTTTGCTATAACTATGCAAATCAAAATCTCGGCCCTTGACGAGACTTAGTTTCTAAAGACACTAGGTCGGCACGGGCGGTTCCGGGAGAGTGAGGGTGGAGAGCGTAAGGGAATTCTCGGGCGAGTTAGGGTGTAATGTGTTAATACCCCCAAATAAACATAAATAAAAATGGGGTTTTTATCATTATATTTAAAAATTTGCAAAAGTATAGCCCCCAAAAAATTAAAATGTTCATGTCATTTACTATAAATTGGAATGGAATCAAACAAATGGGGCTATCGTGGTCTAGAGGTTAAGGTGTTCACCTCTCATTCAAAGGTCGCGGGTTCGAATCCAGGTAGCGACCAAAAAATGTTCTCTAAAATTGTCTTTCACCTCCTTTTCTGCTCTCTAGCAATGTTCTGTCGTCTGCTTTCGTCTCCACTTTCTGCCCAACCCCCTCACCTCCTTAGCCCCCTCCTCTGGGCTCCTGACTCTTTCAACAGCCTTTCTACTGCTACTCCTTGGCTCCTTCTTACCACTGTCTTTCAGCCACACCTCTGATCTTCTGGTAGGAAAGATCTACACCTAGCCTTCTCGGACACGGGCGAAAAATCTTGAAGGTCCCGTGTGCGAGTAGCGCACGTTTAAGATCCTTTGGGGTCTAAAATCAATACGAGTAGGCTTCAGCCGCCACCCGGGCAAAATTCGAAATTTTCAACCCACTGAAAAAAGTTTAATGTATCTGCGCACTCATATGACCTTATGCAGTTGAGAGCGCCGTAAAACACTTGCCAAAAAAACAAAACCAAGAGGAAAAAAATAAGATTTTACCCAAATCTACCAGAGAAGAGGGGTAAAACACTTACTTGATTTTCTTGATCCCCAGTTTGCCATTTGTAAAGTTCTTCAGCACGTTTGACATTGGAACTCCAAAATCATCAAGATCACCAATACCTGCACATGACAAAAAATGAAAGTGAAAAACATTTGCACATGTTGGGTGGACCTGATGAGACACAAGCACATAAACAAAGTAACCTTTTCCGTGAGATTGCATTTCATATAATACCAGACCAATTACTGGACTCTCCTACAATTTTTTCCTTCTGTGTCGGCCAGTAGAGTACCATCACAGCCTACTTGTAAAGGCCAGGAGTGCCAGCAGTATCCAAGGTTTAAGAGTAAAATAAAAAGCAAGACCACCCTATAAATAGAACACTGGTCTACAGCAGGTAAATCAGCAGCAGTACAATGATCCGCCAAACTGATAAGGAAAAAATAGTCTTAAATGTCTTTCCCAAACAGACCAGACAAGTAATGACAGGGAATACCAAGTCCAACAAAAAGCCCATCAACATCTCCTCCCGATTCTCTGACCAGGTTGTGTATTTCTCAAACTGGTAAGTTTTTAATTAATAAAGAAGCTATCAATTCGAGATATGAACAAACTGACAGAAAAAAAGAGTAAAGCGAGTGCCTACCGGTAGAACTGCTCTGTTTCATGAGGTCATTGGATTTCTTGGAGCGTGACTTGTTTCCCCCTCCATTGACACTAGCGTTGTTGGAATTTTCCTTGGCGTTGCCAGTCCCTCCGGCACTGTGCGAGGTTGCATTGTTTCCCATGGTGTTGGAGAAGGAGACGCGGGTGGAGTTGACCAGGTGTGTGCCGTGGCCCATGCTGCTGGACACCAGCACTGTGCTGGCCGTGTTGGCCTGAGCGCTGACCGCCGTCACCGTCACCACAGACTCCATCAGCGTGCTCACCTTGGCCAGGGTCACCTGCAGGGCGTCCGTCACCTGCTTCTTGTTCAGCTCCACCTTCTGGTTGAGGCGCAGTCCGCTATCGTTGCCGCTCGCCTCCCTGCGCGTCTCCCGAGCCGCTTTCTGCTGCTTCTTGCGTGCCTCTCTGTTGGCGCGCGCCGAGGCAGCCAGGCTGGTGCCGGCCGCCGTGCCGCTGTTGGCTGTGGACGCGGGCGACAACGCAGGCGGGCTGAACTCTACGCTGGGCGTCATATTGGGTGGCAGTCTTGATGTTTGCTGACTTTCGACTGGGACTTGGCTTTTCCCAGAGTTAGCTAGGCCGGGCTTCCCTTTCTGAGTCCTACCAGGCACCTCCGTCTTGGCAGAGCTGGTAACTGAAAAAAACGAAGACAAAAAGGCAATATGTGAGTGGGGTAACCTACCTTGGAAAGCTTTTCCTATATCGGTATGGCTGAAAATATGACTTACAAAAGGAGAGGTGGCCGAAACACAATAAAAGCCACTGAACAAACCACAAAACTATCGAACAAAACACATTTTCATACAAACAGCTATTCTATGGAAAAACAAGAGACTTCATACCTGAAACAGAAAACATCAACGGTCTACAATTTTTTTTTAAACCACAAATGCTGCTGATGCAAACAATATTTGTACTACAAAACTGAAAGCACTTCTCAGAAAGTAAACATGTTACACAATCTGTCCAGAAACAAATTGGGGTAATTTACCAAAAACTAGTAGGTAAAGAAGTGTATAGTTGTAGCGCCTCTTACAACATTAAAACACATTTGCCAACATTTTTGTTAAAACATCAGATTACAAAACAATGAGGCAGTTGCATCAAGTGGGACTGGTATTCGTAGAGTGTATGAGATAAAACTCATCCCATGAAATTCCAGACAGTTGGCAAGCCTGGTAATAATTTATTTAAGAAGCATAATATCCTTACATGAAGCCCATCTCTAACAGGACCGTGCCATGTGGATTATGTGCTTTGAAAACTCTGGTTCAAAATTTCCCCGTTGGGGATTTAACCAGGGCTGTTTGCTTCATAGTCCAGCATGATACATACTGGAACTAACAGAGCATCCCACAAAGGACCACCAAAAATTGAAATTCAAACAAAATAAATGAAAACAATCAACTCAAACATACTTGTATTTGCAGGTGATTCATGGTTACTGTCATCTTCTTCCTCCTCTTCCTCCTCATCATCATCTTTCTTTCCTGATCCTGACTCACCATCCGGCTCTGGTGAGGAATTCTTCCCACTGTGAATAAACAAAAATGTTTTTAAAACAACAGGAACGTCTTGAACATCTTTCTGTTTTATAAATATCTAGCAATAATTTATCAAAATGTTCCATGAATTATAAGAATCAGATATATCCCAAACATTGTGATTTGGAAAACAAAATAAGACGCATGTTCTATATAACCTTGAGAGTCACTGCTATGCCTGTCAATAATGACAAAAACAGAACATTAATAAGTTGGTCCACTATTTCCAAAATCATTGGCATGAACAAATGGAGATTTCATTGACTTTAACATTTTCGAATGTAACACAAGCAAAGACACCACAGGTGTACTTTTGGCAGGTTTATATTTTCCTTTCCTTTTCACCAATGGTGAACTCTTTCAGTATGCGAGAGATTCCACAATTTTATGTACCCAATTTGAGGCAGCCACAAAAGTTACTTTAAAACGGCAATAATTCAGTCAAATATTGATGGATTTGTTTGAGTGAGTACTTACACTATTCGTAATGGACAGAGAATCGCAATACGGGCGAAAATAGGTAGTTTACGTAGCACAGAATCACGTGCAGATCTTGAGGTCCACAAAATAAGAACCTCCAAAACACCATGTGGTGATCCACTAAAACGCAGAACCCAAAATGCCGCTTGAGGGACAATCCGTAGTCAAAGAGGATCTACATTTACAAATTATTTCTTCATTACTCATGTAAACACTTTGTCATGCCCTCACCTATCCTTGTCTTTATCCCCCTTCTCGTCCTTTTGCTTTCCCTTCTTCTTGCGCTCCCTCCTCCTCTCTCGTCTCTTTGACGCCATTTCAGCCTTCAGTGCGGCCTGCTCCTTCTCCTGTTTGATCTCCTCCAGCAAGCTGTCAGCATTTTTGTTGGCCTCTGCAGCTTGGCGGTCTTTGGCAGACACTATCACATCAGCACACTGGGTGCATTTCTTCTGCAGCTCCTGGCGACACAGGAAGGAAGTTTTTAGTATAACTAAAGTTTTCAGTATAACCAACTATACATGCAGATTTAGTTTTAGTTTTAGTAGAGGTTTTACGGCGCTCACAACTACATAAGGTCATATGAGCGCCAGAAGATTAGAGGTGTTACAAGAGAGTAACAAACAAAGAAGAACAAGGGGAGAGCCAACCACCCACACGCAACACAATACGGTCAGGTAAGTGCCGAAGATTAGAAGTGTTACAAGGGAGTAACAAACACAAAAAAGAAGGAGGGGAGATAAAGACGATGGTTGTTTGATAGGAAAGATGAAATTCCTGGGGGTTTTTCTCAATTTACCAGTTGAGTGGGAACTCTGAGTAACATCCGTCTTACTCAAAGACAAGACAGGGTAAGAAAAAAGAGGTATATTCACTCATGGACAGCTCTTATTACATGCTCAGATGAAATGTCCTATATTACAACTGGTTATATGGTTGATTGAATTGTTCTTCACAGTGCACTGAAAGTCAGTGCAATAACGAGTACATATCACAAGGAACAAAACAGAACCACAGAAACACTAAGAAAAAGTAAGACAGGGTTCATACTGAGCAGGAGATTTTTTTTTGCAAGTTTTCAAGATCAGATTTCTTTTTTCCAATCGGAAGAAAATTTTTCATTCAGCATGCAAAAATACATTAAGGTATACTTCAGAATGCCTAAAGACAAGGCCTTCTAAACTTCGAGGAAATATTTTTACAATAGATCTAGTTTGTTTTTCCAAGACTTTTGCCAATTTCCCGAAAATCCACGAGTCTTGGAAAATAAAAACAAAATTCCATGAGTTTTCCAGTTTTCCAAGACATGTACGAACCCTGGTAAGAGCAAACGACACCAGAACCCTTCCAACCACCCCCTTTGTCAACAGCCAAGCAACAGACACAATTATCCACACACCTTGTCTGTAATGGTCGTGATGTATCTCTTTATTTCGTTCTCCGAAGGGAACTGAGTAACTTTTTTCACCATCCACTTGACCACTTTAATGTGGCCCCTGCGAAACGCAGCCATGAGGCACGAAACTTTCCGGTTGTCCTGGCTGTCAATGTCTGCATCAGCCTGCACTAACAAGGACACCACATCACTATGACCACCTGGAGGAGGAGGAGGAGAAAACACTCTGTGAGCACAATACAAGTGAGGCAAGAAAAGCAAGATCAAATATTGTGAAGGATATAATTTTTTTTAGTTAGTTTTAGTAGAGGTATTATGGCGCTCGCAACTGCATAAGGACGATAGATGTTTGATAGGAAAAAAGTAAACCACACCAGAGTACCCGCCAACCATCTAGTATAAGGCTACTGTCAGAATAAACATCAATGTGTATTGCTTTTTCGAGTATGTATTTATGTTACTCTAAAAGGTCTTGTAATTAAATTCCTGCTTGTGGTTGAATGATGCATCTGACCTGATATGTACATTTATCAGCTTTACTTTTCTTTTCATATTGAATTTTAATGAGACTGACATAAAATTGAAATTTTTATGTATATCTGCATGTTTTTAAAGTCTTGTAGAGCCAAGAAAAATTTCCCTCTGTGACAATAAAGTATTTTCTTACCTTATCTTATAAATTAATAATTAGAGCAAAGGTCAAATAGTTGTTTATTTTTAGTTTTACTAAGAGTTTTGCGACACTTGCAATAGTACTTGGTCATACAGGTCCTGAAGATAAGAGTTGTTACTCGAGAGTAAAATATACATAAAAAGAAGAGACCAGACAAGTAGATACACTGAACCATGAAATAATCAAGCACGACATATAACAAAGACCAAATTTTTTTTTTTAATCCAAACAAGTAGATTAATCTTTGCATTTGATGAAACAAAAAAAAATTATTCCCATTCAATTCCTAAACACTTACCATTGCAAGCTAACCATAAAGGCGAGTTCCCTTTCTTGTTTTTCACATCAACTGATGCCCCTCTGGATAGAAAAAGAAAAAAACAAGAGTAAAAATTAAAGCACCTCCTATTTTCAATTTACACCATTTAAGACTAGACATAATAAATAATAATAATAATAATAATAAATAGCATTTGCATAGCTCATATCCATGCTTAACAGCAATCTCTATGCGCTTTAATAATAATACATGACTACTACACACACAACTGAATTGCTAGCATGTAACATTTTTCCAGGCCCACAATTTATGGACAGTTGTATGAAAAGATTGTACAGCCTTTCTTTGTTCAAAACTCACAAAACATTTCAGTTTTAATAAAGCAACCAAATTTACGACACAATACAGGACATACATGAGAGGCTTAATCCTGTAAACATACCGATGAAGGAGTAACTCAACAAATCGATAGTGCCCCTTGTCTGCTGCGATGGTCAAAGCGGTGTCACGGGAAGAAGGGACCGGAGGCGCGTTCACGTCTGCTCCCTTGTCCAGCAACACCCGGCCTACTTCAACATAGCCACCTGAAGCTGCCTCCATCAGTGGTGTCAGGCCCGTCTACACAGTGATAGAAAAGGTATTTGTTTCCCGTTGATTTTTGTTTTCACAGATAAAAAAAGAACATTTCACAAAAAAACTAACTGCCATTCTCCAGTAAGAGCTGGATAGATAGCAAAAACTGGATAGATAACAACGATAAGAGCTATCATAAACATTTAGTAATATTGCAGAAAAATACAAAACCTCTACTAAGACTTCATCTCTTCCAAATTCAAATTGAGAGACAAAAATATGGCCAGATAAAAATATGTCTGTTGATTCTGGAACAAAAAGCTGTACAGACCTGCAATAGTAAAAGTAGCACATGTCTAAACTCTGAGACAGAGAACATGGTAAACGATATTAAAATAAAGAAAACCACCCTTTCCAATGCTATGGGTCTTACCTTTGCTCTGTGCTCTATGTTTGCTTTACGATCCACCAAAAGGCTGACAACTTCATGGCGGCCTTGGAAACAAGCAAGAGTAAGAGCCGTGTTTCTGTTTGTTTCTATCTGAGCGTTGATATCACTTCCCATGTCAAGCAATAGCTTCACCGCCGCAGTGTGCCCATTCATGGCCGCTAACATGAGTGGAGAGATGCCTAGTTTGCTCCCAGTTCTGTAAAAAAAAAAGGAAAACAGAAGCACATTCCAATTTACTCCTAATAAGAAGACCTTAGCCTTAGCAACAAGTCATACAGGAAAACCTTAGACTTTTTTTTTAAATGTGGTAAAACACACTTTATAATTGAAAGGTTTGTACAAAAATGGGCAATCGTAAACACAAATAAAGCACATGTTAATGAGGATCTGTGACAATACTGGTGGAGAGGAAGGAAGAGAGCTTGCAAAAATATAAAGTCACAACAGTGCTTCTTAGCTGTTTTAAGCTGTCCACATTTGGATCCAAAAGGATGTTGTCCACATATGAGTCTTAATAACAAAATTTCCTTCACTATCAAAATATTACTTTGATCACCTTATTAAAAAATACCAGACTTAAAACTTTTCCTGAGGTTTCCCACTTTTAAAGACATTCATTTCGCGACACTAAAACACACAAAATTGGTACCTGGAATTTATCTCAGCATTGTGAGAAAGAAGCAATTTGATGATGTTGACATATCCTCCTGAAGCAGCCAGGCTCAGGGGGGTGTAGTCTGAGACATTGCGGTGTTCCTTGTTTGCCCCACGGTTCAACAACAATTCAACAACCTGAGAAAACACCAGCATCAAATTAGTAAACGTTCACGTAACAGTCAAGCTTTTTTCACATAACAAGTTTTCCTTTTCTATATTACTGTATATCTTTTTTTTCCCCAATTCCTGATTTCATGCTCAACACGGTTTTAACAAACTGAGAACACAGCGCCAAAATCGGTTGGGATTTCCCATAACAGTCCGGCTAGTCTCATATTTTAAAAAATCTTTCCTTCCTTGATTACCGTAAAGCTTTTTTCCAATTACAAATTTTATGTTTTTCAAGAAAGAAAAATATAAAAATAAAGTACAATGCACCAAACAAACTCAAGATATAACTTACTGGAGTGTAACTCTCCTTAATAGCGCTGAAACTTACAAGAGTGTAAAAAGATTAATAAATACAAAGCTCTGAGACAGTTGTTCACCTCACCTCGTATCTACCACCTGAACAAGCAAGAGACAAAGGTGTGTCCTTTGTTCTCTCCGACTGAGCCTCAATGTCCGCATTGTGGTCCAACAGGATCTCCACCACATCCACGTGGCCACCTGTGGCTGCTAGGATAAGTGGAGTGAACCCTGGAGAGAAAAACGAAGAAAAGTCAGTATGTTTGTTTTAGTAAGAGTTTTACGGCACTTGCAACACAATAAGGTCATATAAATGCCAAAGAATAGATTGTGTTACAGGAGAGTGACATACACAAAAAAGGAGGGGAGATAGGGTCTACAGATGTATGATAGGAAAGAAGGAGCAAACCACACCACAGCACCCGCCAACCACCCACGAAAAGTCAGTATAAACAAAATGAGGCTCGATGGGGTGAAAAAGGTAAAACATCTAAAATCATTCCCCGAGGCCGTAGACCCGACCCGCGAGCCCCCTTACTACAAAAAAAGGCTTTATTTTAGAAAAATCAAAATATCACGGTTTAACTGCAATAGTTGACGAGACTCCAAAATGGGGTCACTACAGACCTTCTCTACACAATAGTCCACTTTCTTGTGCCAACGTTACCACCCCTACATCTCAAATATCCCTATTTTGCTGGGAATGTGCACACGGGTTTTAAATGCTATGGACAATTTGGAACATTTTTTGTCCTGCAAAAATCGAAGCTGTCACCGATTTGGTATCTTTGTTCATGGTTTTTAAAAAAATCATTTTAAAATCGCTCAGCTAAAATGTACACAATATAGAATAATTTGCACTTAGGAAGTCACTGATGACTTCATACCAGCGATATCATATTCTCCCTGCTCCACGCTTTTTCCAAGCTCTCAAACGCACCAAAAACTGCTAGTGAAAACTGTCTGGAATCTTGTGATATTCAAAAAAAGATTAAAGTAGACCTGCATGTGAGCCTCAACCAGATTGTCTGAAAATTTTGTGCAACTCCCCCCCTCCCCCCCCCTCCCCAAAAAAAAAGCATTTGTGGGTGTCATAAGGAAGGACATCCGAGTAGCCAGCGACCACCCCAACAAACACAATAAAGAAGAGACCTAACCCTAACCCTACCCCCAAAAAGAACCTCCAACGGGCCTCATGTAAAAAGTCCAAAACAAGTCCTAAATGAAAAAAAAATAGATCTAGATCTAGATCTAATTAAAATACCACACTCCAAAGCCAAAACAAACAAGGAGCATAGATCTAGATCTATGGCTTACATCTGCATTGCTAAAGGGTTTGATCTAGATCTAGATCTTGTAGAACAAGTGAATAGGAATAGGCCTTGAACTAGAAATCCGCATCCGATTCCGAACAGAGGGACTCAGCTGAGTCTAGATTCTAGATCTAGATCTAAATCTAGATCTAAATAAATAAATAATTCACGCACCTAATGAAATGCTTATTTTTACCAATATTAATATTACAGCACAACCTATGATAGGGTTTGACACAATAGAATTGGAATATGAATCCTCCATTGAGGTCTATAATGATCTATATAAATATTATAAATCTAGATCTAGATCTAGATTCTATTAGAACAAGAGAGTCGGACTTGAATGAATCCACACGATCTGAACAATTGAATTAGAGAATCTAGTCAACAAACGAAATTCGGCCGCTCGAGCACGAAACTGAAAGCAGATAATTTAGGTTGTCGTCCTTTTCCGTATTCGCATTTCTACTTAGGTTCCGACAATTATGTCGGAAACGCCGACGTCGGCAGTCGGCGGTGCGCGCGTCGGCGGTCGGCACGAAAACGAAAGTGCCGACGAAGCCGACGGGGAAAAAAGGGGTCGCTGGCAGTCGGCCAGGCCTCGCACTACGCACATTGACTGATACAGGTGGGCCTAGCGATAGCGTCGGCCGGTTCGCGGGTCGGGTCGCGATTGTCGGATTTCAGACGATTGTCGGCAAACATGCAGGTCTAATTAAAGGAATTCACAGCTTTGAATAAACCGTTCAAAATGCAGATTAAAAGACATGAAAATCTTAGAAGTCAGTCAAAATATACGACAGCATCCAAAAAAGCAGAGCAATACAACTGTTCATGAGAAAATTGTATGAAACTGTGGGCACGAGAAAGTGAATGGACCGCAACTGCCATCATTACATATATACCAAGCGGAAAAGTAGGTCGTAGCAGATGAGGCAAGAGGGTGGGGGGGGGAATGTTTTCTAAAAGTGAAAAAAATTATGACTAAAACTCACCCTTTTTGTCTCTGTGCTCTATATCAGCCCCTTTGGCCAGCAGCAGACTGACTAGCTCGGCGTGGCCCCCTGTGCAGGCCAGAGTGAGGGCAGTGTCGTGATTGCTCTCCGTCTGCGAGTCCACGTCTACGTTGGTGTAGAGAGACGCCGCCGTGGAGCCCGGCACAGCCAGGGGCTGGACGCTTGAGTGGGGGAGGTTCTCGTCCACATTCACCACAGAGTTGTGGTGGATTGTTGTCTGAGTGGTAGTCTGGACGATGCGCTGCTGCTTGCGCACCTGGAAAGAAAATACCACAATGGTAGTAACATGCAGTCAGAAAAATACCTGAAAGGAACAGGACAGAAAGACGGGCCAAAACAAGCTCCAAGTAACTGTGAGTTGCTTCTGATCAATATGAACATATCTCTACACTACCTGTAATCTCAACATTTTATTTGACAAACTCACCATGTTTCTATCCCGTAAATTCGCCAAAAGTCATTCCCACGCCCAAGTAAATTTTTGAACTTTCAAGTGAACGTTTATGTGCCAGGGCCTACCAGAGGAAAGTGGCACATAAGGATTATTCGTGAAATCCCCCTTTGTATCAATCTACATGCTGAACCTGTTTCATTGTCTGATAATACTGACCACGCACATTACTACATTCTGTTACCACCATGCGGACCTCTCACCGGTTTAGATCTATCTCCTTACAATGTCTCTGAGAAGGTAATTGTGGAAACTATAAAACCTTTCAACCCTTAACGAGAACCTCCCTCTATTTCACTTGCATAAACATCATAAAATTAGCACTACTTTTAATAGCTTGTTCTTTACTGTCCTTATCGATAATAAACTCATTCAACACCACTCAACCGTGAAAAATTGCTCTACCATTGTTCAAACAATTCAAACCAACTGACCTGTATTCAAATAAGCATTAAAATTGTCTTGAGTGCAAAAATTATCTCAGAGCGCCCCTCCAAGGGAAGCCACAGGGACAAATTCTGATATAGAGGTATAACGATAAAACACAATCCTCACACTACAGAGAAAGGAACTCATTGTTAAAACAAGTGAAATAGATGTGACAAGATAACTATTACAAGAAAATGAATGTACGGTGAACACAATCAGCAACTAAAACAAAAGAAACTCTCCACTTACCACCTGAGGCTTGTTGATGGCAACGGTGTGGTTGCCACTGGTGGCGGGGGCTTTGAGCTGCTGCAAGTGCTGCTGGAGCAAGTGGGCCTGCTGCTGTTGGTACTGATACTGCTGTTGTTGTTGCGGAGACAAGTGAGCAGGAGGGGCCGTGCTGACTTGAGTATTGGCCACCGCCTGAAGCACATGCTGGCCTTGCTGAAGCTGGGTCAAGGGGAAAAAAAGTGAAATTGAGACTTCGCTAACGCATCACAGAGTCATTGTTGACCCCAAATGTTGATCATGATCAAACGTGTTTTGTTTTTTTAATGAAACAGACAAATATGGAACATAATCAAAAGGGTACAGCTGGTAAAATACACAATTCCTAACAGAGAAATCATACTTAACCCCAAATTATTATGTCAGTGTTATGTAAGTACACAAAAAGAGGAAAGAGGAAAGCATACGCTTAAACATAATGATTCAGATAACATGAAAAAAGGACATCAAACTGTCAACAGTAAGAAAACAGTCTGTGTTTCCTAAACTTAAAGAAATTACACCTTTGAGCATTCAAACAATAAATAATTGCTTCAAACCAGACTGCTGCCCTGTAAACAATACAGGTTTTCAACATCACAGCAACAATAGGACAGAACTTGTACAATGACATAACCCCAGGAGCCCCCCCTACCTGTTGCATCTGAATCTGATGCTGCAGACTGGGCTGGTTCAGCATGTGGTGGAGGAGTTGCTCGTGCTGAGCCTGGCCCGGCGCTATCATGGGCGAACAGTTCAGAGGTAACAGCTGCTGCTGCTGGGGCTGCTGCTGCACTTGTTGGCTGAGGGTCTGGAGCTGCTGGCACTGGGCCGAGTCCAACATGACTTGTGAAGAGGATGCCGTGTTCTGAGTCACTTCCACTGACTGAGAGGCTGAAAGTCAACACCGGGTTTTGTTTTAATATGTGTTTTACAGCACTTGCAACACAATAAGGTCATGAAAGTGCCGAAGATTAACAGCGCTCGCAACTGCATAAGGTCATATGAGCGCCAGAAGATTAGAGCTGTTAGAAGAGAGTAACAAACATAAAAAAGATAAAGGGGAGATAACGAAGATAGATGTTTGATAGGAAAGAAGAAGCAAACCACACCAGAGCACCCGCCAACCACCCACAAAGATTAGAGGTGTTACAAGAGAGTAACAAACATAAAAAAAGGAGGGGAGATAAAGACAATAATGTTTGATAGGAAAGAAGAAGCAAACCACACCAGAGCACTTGCAAACCACCCAGTCAAGACAGGGTTTTTTGGGGGGGTTTTAGTAAGTGTTTTACAGCACTTGCAACACAGTGCAGTCAAATATACAGAAGAATAGAGGTTTTTACAAGAGAGCAACAAACACATAAAATAAAAAGTAGGTATAAGGACGACAGATGTTCGATAGGAAAGAAGGAGTAAACCACACTAGAGCACCTGCCAACCACCAACTGTCAACACAGGAAAATCAACACAAAGTGTTAAATGTGATTCACCAACTAGAACAACTACAACTGAAAAATTAAACCTCATTCAATAAGAACAGGGAAATAATTGATCGTTATGAGCACATGCTTCATAACTTTTTTTCTTTCCGAGCAGAATCCCAACAAAACTTAAAACAAACTGGTAAATATTTATTTTAAAAAAGGTAAGAATATAACTTATTTTCTGCTTTGTTTGACGACTACACAGAGTCAAAAAGTAGAAACAAGCACTAAAATTCACCAACATTCCACACATTTGGTAGCAACAACTAACTTCTTCACCTGCACTCACAAAAGAACGCCGCATGCCGGTGAAACAATACAGAGATTTCTTACCCCCATTATGTTCTGTTTGAAAAACGATGGGCTGGGCTTGGGTTAAAACTTGTTGCTGTGGGAGTAATCGTGGACCTTTAGCTGGATGGACGAGAGGCTGAGGCGGGGGCGGTGGTGGAGGTGGCGGTGGTGGCTGCTGTAAGGCTTGAGACAAATTCTTGGCCGTCCGTCCCGGCTTGTTTGATCCGTTCCTCTTGTTGCCCTGAGCCTTCCCGACCCCGCCCCGAACTTCTCCCGAGTTATTGCTGGCAGACGAGCTGACTACAGTGCTCGTGGGCGGTGGAGGAGGCGTGGTTAACTGTATGGACTGTCCCTGTTGATTGTGCTGTTGCAATATCAACGGGGTCTGCAGAAGAACATACAAAATTGTTAGGGGTTACACTGACCACAGGTAACAAAACAAAACCAACCCCCCTCCCCCTCGAGAAATATGAACTTTTCGGCATTTGTGAAAACTTCTGCAGCCCTAAAAATTTACAAGTTACATGTAATCTAAAATATGTTGTATCAAGACTTTTACTTATTTAGGGTGCAATATAAAAAGGACAAAGAATTCAAACTATAAACAATTTTGCCATAAATAATCTATCAAGAGTAGGGCAATCTCCAAAAGTCAAAAATACTGATTTTCGAATTTTTCCAGAAAATCCAGGTAACTGAATAATTAGTGATCTAGCAACAAGCGCTCAATTTAAAATATATCTAGATCTATCACACAGAACAAAATGGTGTTCTTAACCACACCTGCCAACCACTCCCTGACCAAAAGTAAGAGTGTTCCTCCGAATCATCCCTCAAACTTAGGGAGTCTCAAGAACCCTAGTGGGTTAAGACAACACTACAAACAGAAAATAGCAGATGAATGTGTATGGCAATTACACCCAAATAAAACGTGCCTTTTCACATCATTTATGATGTCATCCAATATTGCAAATAAACCAGATTATTTCCACATAGCTTATAATAAAAATGCAATGATTATTGGGCGTTACTCAGTGTCGACTGGGAGAGTTCACTTCGTTTTGTGCTTATTTTGTTTTTTCAGTTATTCTGCTGTGATTGGACTCTTAATCAGAATACCACTGAGTTACAATCAGAATACTGAGTGTGTATCTAGCTTAACATTATTATTGTTTATATTACAGTTTATTTATATATTATGCATGTGGCTGTAAGCCTGTTTATGAGTGCAAGCATACAGCATGTGTGTGTGTGTGTGTATGTGTCTGTGCATGTGCACACGAGTGCGAATGTGTGTGTACGAGGTGAAGCACCAAACCAATGTGCCAGGATGTGGACAATAAAGATGTATCTCATCCATCTTATCAACTAATGGAAGCACACAATTCAAATATAATAAAGTTTCAACATTCTCCTTAGCGCACACACATTTCATGCTATCGCTGCATCCTCCTGCTAGACTCCCAGTGTTACTCTTCAGCAATAATACAACAGAGAACCCCGACATACCTGCGGAAAATACGCCTCAGCTGAGGGGGAGGTGGCTGGACCCAAATCACAGACTAGTTTTGCAAAGTCATTCATGAGGGGATCTGTCTGACCAGGTATTTCAAGCAATTTTGCCAGCTCTTCATTCTGAAATGGGAAAATTCATGCCAATGACATCAATCCACATTTCATCCCAATAAACCTACATCATTATGATGGTAAGCAATATCAGAAAACACAACATTATAAACGCTCTCAGAACTTACTTTTTCAAGGAATCCTCCAAAAACTTATTCTGCACACAAGAACGTAAAATTAGTGATACTTGTGTTATTGACAGTTTCTGTACTAGATAAAGTTTTAGGAAAAAAATTCAAAAATCTAAGACCTTACTATATACATTTATTTTCTCAAATATCTCGTAACTGAATGTCTGCTTTCCCTGCGAGCTATGTGTACTCCTACGTACCCACTGCTCCCTCTTGTGGACAACACCGGCCCCAGCAAGAGCGCTGGCGGCACTGGTCGGAGACGGAACGGAGGAAGAAGACATCTGGGGCTGCTTGAGTTTTGCCTGCATCTGCTGCTGCTGCTCCAGGTCCGGGTGAGCGTTGAGCTGCTGTTGCTGGGCCTTCTCGTGCAGCTCCAGCTCCACCTTCTTCAGCTCCTCCAAGATTTGTTGCTTTCGGAGAATCTGCTCCTCTTTTGTCGTCTGGTTGGTGCTCATCTTCTCATCCTGTGGGACAATTTAAGAATTTGTCAATTCTTCGACCCCTCGAGTTTAAGTTTATTAATGAGTCAACAATGTAACAGGTACATTTCATAAAACCTAATTATAGTGAGGGTGAAAATATGGAGTTGACCAAATCATAGTGTCCATCGACTAAAGCACTCTGTCTCTTATGCATGTCAGAAACCAGAAAACAAATTCTCATAACATAAACAGCTTAACTGGTATATAAATTAGTAGCAGCTGTACCATTTAATCGGTTGAGCAATAAATGTTTACCTTCTCAATAGCTTTGTCGTCTATGAGACCAGCTTCGTTGATAAGTTGAAAGTTTTCCGCTGCAGCACCGCTGAGCTTGTTACCATTCTTGCCATCTGGCTGGCCAATCACAGTCCGTTTGGTTAAGGACTTTTGAGCTTTCCCTAAAACAAAAAGAAAAACACGAACTTTCACAACTTTGGTTCATAGAACAAAGACCAAAGGCTGACTTCACGCACTATATCTTAGAATCATGAATACACAAATATAAATCTAACAGTTAAGCAGTATCATGTATCAGTTTTAGGGCAATCCATGGGAAAGACACCAGGGAAACTTACTGGTCTGCCGATTGACCATTTTTTGCTAATACAACATGGAATCGACACACTAAATCCACTTAACACTTTGCCATCACAAGGCTCATAAAATAGTTAAAACTCTTGCCATTAAAGGCAAAAGCATTTGGGGGAAAATCCAAACATCGCCAATCGGCGAGATGAGGCGGCAAAGTGTTAAACGCATATCAGGTAGAATAAAGACTGATGAATTCACACATGAAAGCAAATGCATACATAGACACACATCATGACTGCATGCATGCACACACACTGGGGTTCTGTAAAGCTACTGGCAATAGAGAGAATACCAGGTGTGGCTATGCAAGTAAAAGTGTGTGTTTATGTACACTTGATCACACAAGGACCAAAAGGGATTTTCATTTGGTGTAAAATTCTGTTTTCAACACAGTTACAGGTGAACACAGGCAAGGAGCAGAGAAATCTCAAGAAGTAAACAACTTTACATTCTCAAATGTGCAAAGCAATAAAACACACAACATACCCTGGATGGCATTTCCCAAGTTGGCAGCAACATTGGGGATCTGAGGATCTGGCTCACTGGGTGGTACAATGTTGGCCAGTCCCTGCACTGGTACACGAGGCTGAATAGTGGGAAAAGAAATGAAGAACAATACCATAAATGTTGGCAACAGAAGCCTTAACAAAGCAAATTAATCAAACAGAGTATTAGGGTGTTTAACTGTACAATTGATGTTACTGACATTACATAAGAAAAATGCAACCATAAATACCATAAAGCTACTCCTCAACATTTAATTCATAACACCAACATTTCAAGCACTATTTCAATAGTCAATTCTGTCCTAAATGAGAACTTTGTGTCAAGAAAAAAAGTGGCCATCTTAAAAAGGTGGGTCTCCTTTGAGAGTTATTACAATGAAGACAAATTCTCAGGGAGGGGATAGGAAGTGGACATATGTACAGGTGATTTGTCTTTGACAGGTAGTTGTCACGGCAGGTTTGATTGTATCATGAAAAGCATTGCATTCTGGAATAAACCATTATTCAGTTGGCATGCGATGGCGAAAAATAAATAAAGTGACAAGACCCAATCTTGCAACTTGAATAAATCCACACAACAATGAACTGAAACCATTGAACCCACATAAGTAAACATTCATAATCAACATTAACAAGCAGCTTCCCTGACCTCTTCGGCTGGTGCATCAGCTACATTCAGCTGGGGAAGCTGGTCTGAGGGACCAACCAAAAACCGGTTGGGCCACTCTAACAGCAACTTGACCACCTGAGTATGACCTCCCTTTGCTGCTTCTATCACCATTGTGGATCCATCCTGTAGGGACAAAAAAAAAGACAATGTTTAAGGCTATAAAACAACAGACACAGAACCCATCTGTATTTCCGTTCAGTCAATAGTTCTACATAACAGAGAAACAGCAACAGACTTTTAACGGGAAAAAGCATCTAAACCAATATTTGTTTTTCATTTACACATCTGAAAAGACTCAAGTCCCCCCCCATCATACTTTCCAAATTCACACAGGCATCAAACACCTGTGTCTAAAAAGACAGCTTGGAGCAATGCAAAACATAAATATGATCTATAAGCATTCACACATCCCAAATTAACTGTGTTTTTTACTTTTCATTAGAGTTTTACGGCACTTGCAACATAGAAAGTGATATACATGCCGAAGATCCGAGGTGTTACAAGAGAGTAACAAACACAAAACAGAAAGAGGGGAGATAAAAACGATAGATGTTTGATAAGCCTGCCAACCACCCACAATGTACACTATACAATAGCCGCAAAGCTTGAACTAACAAAAATAACAAGTTTACATAAAGGTGGGAAAGTAAGAAAGACGCCAGAAATGAAGTAGAAAGACTGCTTAAAGGAGAATGCAATGTGACAACGGCACAAACGTTGCTCCTTACCTTCAACTTGTGATTGGGGTCAGCATTGTTCTGCAGCAACAGGTCCACTACAGCCATGTGTCCCCCCGCACAGGCCAAAGACAGCACTGTGTGGTCATTCGAGGTAGTGGCCCTGTTCACATCAGCTCCAGCTTGAAATACAAAAAATGAAGAAAGAAATTAACGTCCAGTCACCCATACCTCAGCCTGGAAAAGACTACACGAGAGATTTACATTACAAACTCAAAGACAACCTTCTGAAGGATATACTGAAACATGTTACACTTCACCAATTAAGATTAGGATTTTCTGCTCTGAATTTTTTTAAAGATAAAGATTTATGGCACTTACAACACAAAAGGTCACATATGTGACAAAGATTAGGTGTTAAAAGAGAGTACCAAACACAAAAAAAGGAGAGATAAGGAAGATAGATGTTTGATATGAAAGAAGGAGCAAACCACAGAACAGCACCCACCAACCATCCATTTCTTGCAGGAATTTCTTGTCAAAGATCACATAAAAAATCTACCAATATTTTTTTAGAAAGAAACAATAACATAGCTCCGAACTTGACATGGTTCTTCAGAAAGTGAAAACCTCGTGTGAAAAGGAAACAGCCAACTGGCAGATACATAAACATTTTCAGGCGTCGATGCAGTTACAACTACAAACTCAGTGAAAACAATACATCTTGAGAACAGGAGCCTTTTTTCTACATTAAAGCACACAGAGAATGTGAAATTTGTCTTAAAGATAGAATTGACAGCAGATTATAGACTACGCTTCTTAATCCTTTGAACCCTCACCACTGGTATACCAGAGGCGCATAAAACTGCACACATGCCTAGCCACCGGTAAAGCAGTGAGCGAGACCCTTTTCCCTAACTGATCCGTCTGGGACAAAATGCACTTGGGAAACCATGTTTACTACACAGTACATTATAGATTATTTTGAAGATCTTTCTAAATTAGCTGCTGGTAATGACGAGGACTACCATAAGTGGGATATGAAATGTAATTCTGATGATCACATGAATGTTGGTAATGCCGCTCAAGCAGAGGGGTACGGTAGCCTCAGGAGGTCAGGGCTCAAAGGGTTATGGGAAAACTACAAACCTCATTAGGAGAGAAAACTATTTATCATTGTGTTCGTCATTAACATATCAGTGTAAAACTCCATCATACATTACTTTTCAAAATGGCATTTGGTGGAGTATAACATTATGCAGTCAACGTGTAATAGAGATTTTGGAGAATCTTTTGCATGTATAGCAGACCATCCACCAAAAAAAAAGACAATCAGCTGTTCAAATACCATCACTGCTCCGTAGTAGTAGTATAAGGTTTTACGGCGCTCGCAACTGCTAAGGTCATATGAGCGCGCGAAACACAAGTTGTTCACCTCTGCGAAAGTTCACTTCTCGACTGGTAACTAGTTTACTTTAAAATGCTAAAAAGTTAAAATATTCAAATTCGGTGTAAATACATTTGTGATCTAAAACAACTTTTAAGTAACAATAAAAATTTTAAATAATATCAGATTCACTTTACAACTCGCCATAAAGGCCAATGGCCTTTATAAAATTTAAAATTCTGCTGGGAACAACGACGGAGAAAATATCCTGCAATTTCTTGCATTTATAATATTTCCTTCGGATCTCTTCAAAGTCTAGACATTCTGTTAAAATGTGTCTAACGGTAAAATCTGTGTCGCATCCGACACAGAACGGCTTCTCCTCTCCCTGTAGGAGGTATTTGTGAGTCAGGGCCGTGTGTCCGATGCGCAATCGAGTAAAAATGACTTCGTCTCTTCTGGAGAGATCCGAAGGATTTCGCTGTTCTAGTCTGGGTTTAATTTCATATAATTTATTATTTTTCTGGTTTTCCCAGTGGCTCTCCCACAGACTGGAGGTGTACTTTTTGACTTTATTTCTAAAGTCAGTCTGTGGGAGAGTGTTTGTCGTTGATCCCAGCAGAAGGGATGAGGCTTTCTTCGCCAGGTCGTCTACCTGCTCGTTTCCTCGGATGCCCACATGGCTTGGGATCCATGCGAACATGATGTTTTTTCCTGTTTCGGATAGTGTATGGATTTTCTGTTGTAGCCTAACTATTTTTGGGTGTAAGAGTGTGTAGTTTGTGAGTGAGGTGATGCAAGACAGAGAGTCAGAAAGGATAAGGAAAGATTTGTTAGGAGAATTTTCTACAGAGTCCAGTGCCATGTCAATGGCAGTGGCCTCCGCAGTGAAAATGGAGGCTTCAGGATGGAGTCTCCTCTGGTGTGTATTGTTGGGAGATAGGGCTGCGGCGCCCACTTCATTGTCTTTTTTGGAGCCATCCGTGAAGATGAGCTCCGCACCGGGGTATTTATCTATTAGTTTTTTGTATTCTGCTTGAAATGTTTTGGTGTTTGTGCTTTCTTTGTTGTGTGTGGTCAGCTGTAAATCTACTTTTGCCTTGGTGAGGTGCCACGGAGGGAGGTCGGGGAAAAGAATTTGTTGGATGTCTTGTTTGGAAAAGTGTAAGTTTTTGAGGTCCTCGAGGATTCTGAGGCCGAAAGGTTTGATGAGTTTTTCGTTGTTTTGGAATCTGTTTCTGGTTTCTGGATTTGTTTGAAAAATGCTGTTGTGCGCTGGATTTTCCGGTGTTGAGCTCTGTTTAACTGCGTATTGTAGTGAGAGTTGTGTGCGTCTGAGTGAGAGTGGTGGAATGTTGGCCTCGGCCTGTAGGCTCTCCACCGGAGAAGTGCGGAAAGCCCCCAGAGCGAGGCGGAGTCCTTGGTTCTGTATTGGATCTAGTATTTTTAAGACGTGTGGTTTTGCCGATCCGTAGACTTGACAGCCGTAGTCAAGCCTGGACCGGACAAGGGAGATGTACAAGTGGAGAAGGTGTTTTGAGTCCCCGCCCCACTCCGGATGTGATAGAATTTTCAAAGCGTTTAACGCTTTCTGGCACCTCACACGAAGGTCTTTGATGTGTGGTGTGAATGTAAGTTTTTTGTCAAAAATGACACCGAGGAAACGAGCTTGGTCCTGGACGGGAATCCTTTCCCCGTATAGTGTCAAATCCGGCTGCAGCACACGTCTGCCTGTTCGGCAGAAGTGTACTGCAACCGTCTTTGACGGGGAGAACTTGAAACCGTTGTTGTTTGCCCACGTTTCAAGTTTTTGCAGCTGCGTTTGCAGCTGCCTTTCCATAGATCTCAAATGAGGATTTTTCACTGCTCCTATGAAAAGCCTTACTAGTTAGGTCAAAATGTTTAAATATATAAATATCAACCCCCCCCCCCCCCTCCCCCCAATGTACATACTTAGCATCATAAACAAATAATTTCATGAGACGAGCTATAACAACCTAGCCACCCAAGTCAAAATACTGACCTTTTGTGATGAGGAACTGCACTGTGCATAGGTGGCCTGCCCTTGCTGCCTTCATTAAAGGAGTTCTACCTCCTTCCGACTCGTGCTCCTGTAGCAGAAAATGAGGGCACAAAATGCATGAGACCAAGAGATGGCCAAGTCACATCTCTTAAACACACACAAAAAAAGTAATGCAGACGAGAAAGCATCAAGTTCATTTGGGAACATAAAGGGGAAAAGTAAACCCATCTCCATTCGCTTACTTGTGCCACAAATAATATGGTCACAAAATAATTTCTTTTTTAAATTCCTGTGCTAGAGGATGAAATATCCCCAATGAATCAGTTTCAAGTGATCTTCACTAGTGAGCTAACAAATTCAATGGAAGTGAAACATTTGATATTTAAACCATATTGAGCTAACAAATTCAATGAAAGTAAAACATTTGATATTTACACCATATCAGTTGGATTTCTCTTTACCCTTTAATGAATCCTTGTGATGTGACAGATAAAGAAACAATACCAACAATTTTTTTAAATAAGTCAAACCAAAAGACTATACCATGTCACTCTATAGCAAATAAAAGAATTTGGCGTGTGAAATCCTTTTAAAAAAAAGTCTTTCACATCCACTTTCCCACTCATACATACCAGTTTAGCTCCACAGTCTAACAAAGCCTCAGCGACATCTGTGTGCCCGTTCTCACATGCGTACGTCAGAGCAGTATCTCCAGTGCCAGTCTGGGCTTCAACATTGGCACCTTTGACAAAATAATAAATAACAACAATGTCTATTTATATATACTGCCCTTACGATGTGGGACTTCCAAATTCATTTTTTGACTCACTCATTCCCCGGCCTCTCAACTGTTATGAGAAAGCTGGAAAATCGCTCTGCGCACGTGCTCGCAATTGTTGCGTACTTGGACTTACAAATGTTTTTCTGGTCATAGAGAAGCAACAGCTGCAATAGTGAGTGGTGGAAACCATCTACAGTCATTTCTCTTGAATTTAAGTTAAGTTGGAAGTCTCTAGTGCTAAAGGTAAATTTTTGACGAACCTTTTTGAGTGCTATATATACACAGTTACATAAAATTGCAAAATGTTTATGAAAAAATATGGGTCAATTTTTTTAAATCACCAAAATTCACAAGCACAAAATATTCCAAATCAAATTATATTTTCCCAAAGTGAATCCACTTGCTTTAATCACGAGGGCAAAAGCATGGCTTTCACTTCATAACTTTGCTCAGAAGGACATTTTAAAAATATACCCTTAAAGTTGACGGGCAGTACAGCCATATCAATGTAAATTTAACAGGAATCAGCGAGATAAAAAGCTTGCACAAAACTGAAAGGAACTTGTGACTCCACAAAAAGACTTTCTCTACATTCAATTTAACAAAGCACTTTTTGAAAATCTCACCTGCTCCGTCTTCTTTCTTTTAGAGCTCTAAAGAAAGTAACATTGACTCGTTTATGTCGCAAGATAGTATTGTGTTTCATCAACTACTGTCAAACTTTTCAAGCTACATGGAAATTAAACCTACATACAGACTTTCAAGGCATATCCCATACATGCCCATTAACTAATCATATACCTGGCCGCAAACCTGGTGAAAGACAACAGAAGAAAAGAAATGTGAACATCTTTACATTAAAAGCGTGGGCACAAAAAATAACATAAAGTATCAGAATCACCACCCTACAGATGTGGAGTTATTTAGTTATCTTTCAATTATCAAAAGTTTGAAAACTTTGTACTGTTTTTTCACAAGGCTAATAAGCATTGTGTACGGTATACAATGATGATGATGATGATAAAGGCCTCTGGCTGTGTATAATAAGAATAGAAGCAAATAAAAAAAATATAAAACATAAAAACAAAATTTCAAAGGCCTCATCAACACAATTCAGATAATTAATGAGCCCAGCTACTTCAAACCTGACTGCCAGGGTCAACCCAGCCTGAGATCAGAGGGAAACAATGTCCTACCAGACAGACAAACTCAATTTTTACAAAAACCCTCTCCATAGGAATCCAACTCGTGCCTTCTGCGTGCCACTGTGAAGCACCTAAACACTACACCACAAACGAGTCACACAAGGAAAGAGTCAGTCTTGAGGTTATTTTGAGATCCTTGAATATGCTATGTTTTAACATGGTTCTTGGACCAAAGGTCACAACAACAAAAAACCAACAATCAATTACCTGACTGCAGTAAAAAAGACACCAGTTCAATGTGGCCCTCCTGAGCAGCTTCCATCAAAGGAGTACTACAACCCAGCTCAATAAGGGCTCCAGAGCGAAGGAGGAAATCGGCAACTTCCAGAAAACCGCCACAACAAGCCAGAGTGAGTGCAGTCTCCTGAGTCTCTTCAGTCTGAGCGTTAATGTCGGCTCCTATACAAAATACAAGTTTGCAAAGCGTTAATAATATAATTTTAAAAATTATTTCTGTAGAAACTGCACATCTCTTTATATCACTAAAAAAAAAAAAAAGCTACAAAAATTAATCCCTTAACAGATACAAATATTTGGCTAGAGTAAAAGAAGTTTGTTTCAAAAGAACCTGCCCATTGATATTCATCTCAGACCATTCCTGTTTGGAAACAAGTCAATCCACCAAACAGTTGTGACAAAATAGAGAAAGTAAGCGGAGCAATGGCATACATCCAAAAAATAACAAGCTCTCGAGCACACAACACAAGCATACAACTGGAGAGTGGCTGATGTAACTAGTGTATACAGTTTTCGATTTATAAACAGGAAAAGTTGAATTGCATGATTCAATTTGCTGTTTCTTAAATCTCACTTTCAATTAGGGATAACAGCTCAGCAGCCAAAATATTCAAGTACAGAAACTGCCATTTACCTTGAGAGAGGAGAAGAGCCACCATCTCCTCATGGCCTTCCCGTGCAGCCTCCATCAATGGCGTGTAGCCCTCGTCATTCACCTCCTCAATGTTCGCTCCACGCTCGATCAGCAGGCTGGCCAGTTCAATGTGACCCCCACAGGCAGCTAAAGTGAGCGGTGACTCAAAGCTGTCCTCGGGCATATTCACCTGAATCAAAATTTTTAAAAGAGAAGACATTTTGTCTGATTTCTTTATCCAAATTCACACAAAACGCTTTTTCAAACATCATGTTAAATTTTTTGCCATTACTTTGAGTAGAAAATTGCCTATATTGGAATTTTGCATTTTAGCATCATCATTACTGCTTTCCTCATCTGCATCAGGGTATAGGCCACAAATAAACACTTTCCACCTTTTCTATCCTGGGATAGCCTCTTGATATTATTCCACGTACATCATTTTGCACATTAGGCACTAAAAACAAAAACACTTCAGCATCATAGAAATACATGTAAGACAAAACACAAATCATCATGCAAGAAACAAATATTTTAAGAGTGTACACAATCAAAGGGGAAAAAAACTGCATTCCTTTTCAAAATTTCAAGGGCAGTCGTCCATATCAACAAGGCAAGCAGACCTGCCACTCTATGAAACCTCAAAATCAGGATCTCAGGGAGAAAAAAATCGGGATCAACACTGCCAAAGCTGACTTACAATTTTTCTAGGGGTGTCCACAAATTACTAGGACTATATGCCCTATGTGTGTCTTTGCGTGCGCGCGTGTGTGTGTGTGTGTGTGTGCGTGCGTGCGAGTTATCATTATTTTGTGTAAATCCTGAAGCATCGCGTCAAGCACTCCTTGTCCGAGTGCCTCTACTCCCCCCCCACCCCTTCCAATAAATCCCGAAATACATGAACTTAAGTTGACCCTGTCTACGGACGGTCCCCGACACGCAGAACTCACACGGCGATGTCATGTCACGTGACGCAAATGCGCGATTGAAACAATGTTATTGACGGGTCTGACTAACTGCACGTTCACACAAAACACTCAGATGAACGACAGTCGCTCTACTTCTAGGATAACGACGGTGGCCGACCAACCAAATGTACCAACAAATCTCTTACCCCTCATAATGCGTTCAGACTAAAGCAACGACAACGGCCGTATGTTAGTCTTGTCAGCGCAGTCATATGTAGTTGTGTAAGGGTTAGAAAGACTGTCGCTCGCCCGAGTGTTTGATGTGAACGCGCAGTTACCAGACCTCGGACAAGGCTTGTTTTGAAAGTAACAGCGGAACTATGAATATTATCGATTATTTGTATGTCCCAAATTGTAACAGTTACCAGGCTATCATTGGAGAATTCTGAGTGCGGGCAAAGATCACATACAGCTTGGGGCGAGTCAACTACTAAATGCGGCATCGATATTTCAGGAAATAGTGCTCGGAGTTCCTACTGACAAAAAGTTCAACGGATGCTTCTCGCGATAAAGGAGAAGACAGAGTACGTTTTTAGAAAAATCCTGCACAACAGCAGACTGGGACAAAAATCGGGATACACGCGATCGAAATCGGGAAAATCAGGATGCTTGAGATTTGGGGCAAAAAATCGGGATATCCCGACTAAATCAGGATGAGTGGCAGGTCTGGGCAAGTGATCTTTAAATTTCTAATACCCGCTTTACTACTAAATAAAGTATCCCTGGCCTTTCAAGAAGCTGCAGGTCATTTTTGGAGGCACTCTTACTTCCTGTAGCAGCCGGAGCATCTTTACTTTATGGTATCCATTAATTACGGATCCTCTGCAATTTTCAACTATTAGTGAGCAATCATAAAGCGTACATACAATTTCCATGTTCATTCCAAGCCAAGAGGACCTACCAGTCAAACCCAAAAACACAGGGAGCAGGGGCGTGAGAAACCAGAAAACAAAAAAATATCAACTAAGTATGCCTCTGTCAACCAGAAATCAAACCAGGTACTTTATATCATCCGAATCAAGCATCTTACCGCAAACTAATAAGCCCCAGAACACATAACTCTTCACCAATTACGACTCATAAGTGCACATAAAACTTTTCAGTGGGAATCATTGCACCTACCTGGGCACCACTATCCAGCAAAAGACGAGCAACTTCCACGTGACCATCCATGGAGGCTTCCATTAACGCAGTGTGCATTTCATCAGTCTTGTGTTCCTGGTCAGCTCCAGCCTCCAATAAGAATTTCACCATATCTAGGTGCCCTGTGGTGCAATAACGTACATGTTATGGCTATACCACTCATTCATAAGACATTACAAATCAGTGACGATAACAGCAAAGGGCAAAAAAAGGGCAAAATTTACAAGAACCATGCAATACATGTACATAAATAATGTATTTTTGTTAATATTTATATCTTGTGAATAAAAAAATAATAATTTCAAATGCACTCCACATTACACCATACAATGTGCTTTCTGTCATTTCCTAACAATGAGATGGAAAATGTGACCATCATACCTTTATAGCAGGCCAGAGTAAGAGCACTCTCTTTGAACTCATTAGAGTGAGTATTGATACCCGCTCCATGCTCCAAGAGAATTTTTGCAACATCAACATGACCAGCAGAAGCAGCTTCCATCAGAGGGGTATGACCATTCTCGTTATGGATTTCAACGTTGGCTCCATGATTTATCAGCTCCTCCACTACTTCTTTGAAGCCACCACATGCTCCATAATGAAGAGGGGTATTCCCTGTGAACAGATCATACACATATTTTAATCTGAGCAAAATTTTAGAAGAATGATTATAAAATATATTACTGAATCCTTGTTCAAAAGGACGACTCCAATAAGCTTTTCACAGTTCAATTTCTAAACTAATTATCGAAAAAGTAAACAAGGTAACAGTAGACAAATGATGTCACTACCGTGAGTATAAAAGAAGGAACACACCAATACCCCAAAAAAGAAATCATGAACGTTAGCAATATAGTAAAAATATATTTCATCTAAAGTGGAAACAAAAAGAGAAAAAAAGACCTTTTAATCTGGAAAGAAGAAATACCAGTTAGCAAAACGAATTGATAAAGGAACAATGTCTTCCGTCACAAACTTACCAGCCGAGGACTGAGCATTAATATCAGCATTGTGAAGCAATAAGAGTCTGACAATGTCAACATGGCCGCCACTCGCTGCTTCCATTAGAGGAGTACAGTCACCTTTAATGCCCCTGTCTTCAACGTTGGCTTTCATCGCCAATAATACCTGGAAATTTGAGATACAAGAGAACATGTAAAGAGTGCCTGTGACATTCAAATTTAGAGACACACCCCCCCCCCCCCCCCCCCCCCTTTCTTTTTTTTTTCAAAACAAGTCAAAGACAGCAGACTAAAACAAATAAGAGGAATGGAAAAACATTACATTTCATGAACTCATGAACACTTTTTCATACTGCATAGAGGTGAGGTATCATGGTGAAATCAGGCGCTCGTCAAAATAACAAAATCAGAGAAAAAAGCATTTTTCTGCCACTTTGGCAACTTTTATCGAATTCTCGTTTTTAGGGCCAACACCTTTTATGTCCATATAAAAACATATTTCCATGTGAATTTTACTGATTAAAGGCACAAATTATGTAACTTTTCAGTTTTCAAGGACTCTTCGGCCATAAGAGTTACCAAACTTTGGCGGCCATTTTCTCGCTTATTTCACCATTGAAACGAGGCTACCTCATCCCCCTCAATCATAAATACCTTGTCTCCTCTTCTAGATAGATGGGTGGGGAATTTTTTCATTGAAAGCACAACAAATAAAGTTTCAAATAACAATAACTCAACGTGCCCAAAAATTGACGAGCACCTCATTCAACTACGCCGTGACACAAATGTCACTAATTCAGTCTCATATGACACAAAGAGCCTGTTTTGTCTACTTTCCATTATTCCTCTCTCTTATCTCTCATTTACCAAATCAAAATTCACAACATCAACAGCATTTTGTAAATACCTGTGCTAGCTCATAGTAACCAGCAGAGCATGCCAAAGACAAAAGGCTCTCTCCTTCCTCTGAAGCTTCCGCAGCAGTTCCTGAGCTCGACCGGTGACATATCGACTCAGTCTCTCCACTTGCTTCAAGAGGTACACTGCATTATCAAAAGAAGATTCAACATGAGAAAACATTGTTCTTTTCCCCCTTTCCTGTTCCATTTGTGATGGTGGGCCAAAAATACTTCTTTTTTTTTTTTCAGTTAAGAAACAATGAACAGCAGCTTGACCTACTACCAGAATATATTCAAACCACTTATAAAATATTTTTAAAATACAAAAGAACGTATACAAAAACACATTCCAGGAAATACTTCATGAGAATGTTTCAAGCGAAAAAAGAGAAATGTTTCAATTACCACCTCTACACTCATTCCTTCAAAAAGATAAAATCAGCAAGTCTTCATGGGACAATGGCAGAGAAGGAAAGAAGAAGTGGTATGAAGTAACATGGCTTACCCTTCACTGATCATTGGCTGGCCCTGAGAATCTCTCATGCGATGCAACGCCTGCGCAGCCTCGTCCAAAGCACTGCTCACAGACGAAGTGAGGGTTCTCAGAACCTCAGGATCCGAGAGAGCCTTGCCATCTTTAGAAGACAACCTGCTGATGCCTGAGCAAAGCAAAATGAAAATCAATGATTTCACATTTCCATTTTTGAGTCCATTGTATTAAAAAGGCAAGCTTAAAATAAATATGACGCTGGTCAGGACCATGGCTTTAGTTGATTCCAATCTACCACCAAACTGACAAAAGTAGCAAACAGTAAAAACATCTTCCTTTCTTACTGCCAAGGGATGCTAAAACGATGTTCTCACATAATAACTGACCAAAAGTGATGATTTCCTGAAGGCAAGGTTTAGTCCGTAACTTACATTTTTACAGTGATGTTTTACACCTTCACTTACCCGCAGCTTCAAGGAGAGCTTCCAGCCTGGCTTGAGTCTGAGGATCTACAGTTTGTATACCTTGACCTTCCGTCTCAGTGGCCAACAAATACTTTGATGCTTCCAATCCTTGCTCACTGTCCTCCATATCATTCTCATCTAAGATGAACGAATCCACCTGCAAAATGTAAAAAAATATAAGCATAAAAATAAGAGAAAGACATGTATTAAAAGATTTTGATGGAGTCCAATGCATTACAAGACATGAAACTGTTATTTCAAAGGATGGGGGGGGGGGGGAGGAGAAAGGAAAGGAAAGGTTAAGAAAGAAGGCAAAGAACTACAGACACCTGAGTAAAAATATGCATCATATGTCATTCCACATTACAGCAGAGTTGGTACCAATTTGTAAACAACCACACATACCCTCTTTTTTCTTCTTTGTCAATATGTGCCGCATCATGGTGAAACCAGGCGCTCATCAAAATAATAAAATCGAATAAACATTTTTCGCCCCCTTGGCCAATTTTTATCACATTATTTCCTATTAGCTCAACAACTGTCATGACCATTTTAATGCATTTGTGCCTGGAATTTACTGAAAAATGACCAGAGGCACAAAACAAACAAAACAACAAACCCCCCCCCCAAATAACAAAAGAGAAAATGTGCAGTTTCAAAGGACACTCAAGCTTTGGAAACCACCAACCACGGTGGCCATTTTCTCACCAACTTTCCCCCTAATACCAGGCGACCCCCACCTCCTGCACTATCTCAGCTTCTATTCAAAATAGATGGGTATTTTCTCAACAAAAGCAAGACAAATGAACAAGCTTTAAGACGATACCAATAACTCCATATATGCTCAAGAATCCACAAGCACCTGATTCCACCGCATCATGACATGTGTATCAAAGAACAGGATAGAACAGTACTTGAGTTCAATAATAGCAGTAGCAATATTATTTCAATCATGCACAGCAGAACAAACATGCAGTATTCGTAAGGAAAATTGTATAAAATAGACAAGTAAAACAATATATCAAAACAGCCCATGGAGATTCTCGTGGTCTAAAGATACAGTATTCTCCTCTCATTCAATAGGTTCCCCGTTCAAAACCTGACATCGCTGAATAACTTTCTTCCCTAAAGTTTTCTCTCCTTTCATTTATTTTCCTGTCCTCTGCTTTCATCTCCATTTCTGCCCCCCCCCCCCCCCCCACTCTTCTCTCATTTACTGCTAACCCTTCTACTACTTCTGGCTCCTCCCTACTGCTGTCTTTCAGCCACACCTTTGAATACTTTGATCTTTGATTACATAAGATCCAACACCTAGCTTTCTTGGATAAGGGCGAAAAATCTCGGGTGTCCGATGTGCAAGTTGCTCACATAAAACATTCCTCGGTGATCCTAAAATCAGTAAGAAGAGGCTTCGGCAACCACCCAAGCAAAATTCAAACAAAATCAGAATGTGACTGCCTGAAGACAAGTGGCCCTACTAATTAAGAAAAACAGTCGCGTTAGTAAAATCAGTTGCACTGCAGGTAGAACAACCAAAAGTTGACTACCCCTGAGATTTAGTAGGGTAACACAAAGAAGAAGCAAAAACACAGCCCATGCCATATGACACAAAGGCCAAAGTCATGGAGATCTGAAACAGACTCCTATGAAAATATCCTCACTGCCCTAGCAAAATGGCACATATCTAATTTTAGCTTATTTTGAGGTAAATCGGACAAAAAAATGATGACTGCCAGGTATCACATTTTTAAGGGAAAAAAAAAAGACACAGCAGTGACATAACATTTGCAAATCATTTATCATCAGTGTCAAAAGCATATCACCAGTAAACAGCCGGATAAGGAGTAACTCCCCAGAATCAGGGTCTGATTTTATTTCAAAGAGACAGAAATATAAATGCAGTTGTGCAAATTCAGGGATCTCTGAAAGAGAAACTCACTGACAATCAATCCATAATTTAAACCCATAAACAGAGTGGCGTTGAGCTACTTTAACTCTTTCCGGACATATCGCAGATGTATCAGCGCGAGGCCACCCCCCTTGAGGACGTATCCCCGATGCTGAGGACGTATCCCCGATGCTATGATGGGGTGCCTCAGTTTTGTTTCATTTTAACATGATCCAATATTTATAAGTACTGTTTTTCATTGTTGTTGAAAACTTGGAAAGGGTTTCGAAAACAAAAACATCTAGTTTCACTTTGTCAAAGCGTCGGCCCGGCGAAAAACGAGTGAATTAGTTCTTGTGGTTTTGCATCAACAAAACAATCTAACCGGACTCAGTATAAATGTCATAACACAAACAAAAATTGGAATATTGCATTCAAATAAAAAGCTGCACATTCAGAAATTTATGGAATCTGCTCTTGGCCTATATATAATAAGATAGCTACGCTGATTCGCTTTCACATGTTTAGTGTGTGTAATTTTTTTCCGTCAAAATGTACATTTCTCACCACCATCGCCATTTCTAACGCCTTCTAATGCATACTTTTAAGTAGTAGTAGTAGTATAAGGTTTTACGGCGCTCGCAACTGCTAAGGTCAGCATACTTTTAAGTTCAAAATGAATCCTTGTTTCATGTTGGAATGTAATCCTTATTCAATTTCCTTCAATTTGATATATCATATGTAACATTTTGAGTAATGGTTATGCTTATATGAAGTTATTTTGTACATTACCTGTGTAGCCAAATCTCGAGTCACAAGTTAATTACGGCTAGACCCCAAAACAACTACATCCGGACAGCCTTAAGGCCATAGGCAGAGTAAAAATTTGAGTCTTTTTATTAATTTCTAAACTCAAGATACTAAGCCCACCAAAGATCTTTCACAATGATGTATAGGAACAATGAACTCCGCAGAAATCATACTGCAAATGAAATTTCAGTAATTTTTTTTAAATTCCAAACAGTACGAAACTTGAGATGCAGTCCGACAGTAGCATGGTTGTAAACTGTTATTTATTTGTGTAATATGGTGTATTTATGTATGTACTTATTTATAATTATGTATTTATCTTTATTTGTTATACCTTTTACCCTGTGGGTTTCAATCAAACACTTTCCTTGTTATGCAGCTGCTTGACTTACACTGAGAGTATGTTCAATCCATCACCACCGCCTTCTTCCTACCTCACCTTTCACTGGGCTCTGTCTTGTTCTCCTTAATAATTATTAACCCTCTTTGCACACGATCATGAAGACTCATACTTCCCTTCCATGCTCATCACGACCACCAGTCGCGATCGGACATGTGTGTTGAAACTGTACCGCCGACGAGAGAATAGCCATTTTCTTTTACTGCTAGTGACTACAGTCCACCAGTGCAACTTTTTTTATCAGTGCCATTTGCAGCGTTTCTGGCAGTCGATGATCAGTTTGTGGAGTTTTTTTTATCTGCAATTGTCCTTTATATTGTTTAGTTTTTTAAAAGTCGGATTCTGACTCCTTGACAGATGGTTCAGACACAGACGTGCCCCACATTTTTTTTTTAATCGGTCAGCAGTGATGGAGAGTTTGAAGGATTCAGTCCTCAAATCAATTTACGTGTGAATGATGGGGATACATATCGTAGATCCAGCGAAGTTCAGCCCAGAAGAGGACGTCGATATTCCTGTTGATGTCCAAGCAGGCTGGACCAAAACTTTTCTTCACCAGCATCATTATCACCACCACCAACAATGACAACATCAGAAAACCAAGCAGTAGGGTAGTTCATTATTTTGTACACATTTTTCCATCTTGCTGTAATTAGAAATTATGATAAATGAGGTAGATATGAGCTTTTTTTAATAACTATGTTGAAAATTAGCTGAACCTCAGTTACTTCCTTAGACACTTGTTCAAGAAAACCTGGATCCTCTTTAAGCAAGTCTGAGAGGCCCTCCATGTCTCACAACCATGCAACAAGACTGACTTCACATTTGAGTTGAAGATCCTCAGCTTTGTTCCTAGTGAGATATCCCTGGTCCTCCAAATCCTATTCAAAGATATGAAAGCAGCCTGTGCCTTTCCGATGCGACTTTATTTCAGCGCCTGTTCCTCCCTTTCTGTCAATTATATTCCCAAGATAGCAGAGGGATTCCTTCTAAAGCATTTCCCTATATTGAGACCTGCTCCTCTTGTAGTGCATCTATCCTTAAGACTTTTGACTTTTCGGGGTGGGTCCTCAATCCAACAGACTCTGGTAGGCTGTTGAAAATAGCGGTCTTTGCTTGCACCTGTTCCTGGGCGTTATGCCATATTAAGTACAGAAATTGGAATCCAGTTACAAAATGTGGCAAGAAGTGACAGTGGGGATTTTTTTTGGTGTCATAAATGTAATTCATCCTCTGTGTTAAACAACAGTCATGCAATTGTATAAAGTGGCACTATAACATCTACATGTAACAAAAAGTAATTAAAATTCTGTTTGAATAATTCATCTTTATTGATCTATATTCTCTTTCTATTCATTACTATGTTCCACAACCACAACGGACAAGCCACACTCAGTGTCCCTCACATTAATATACATAAAAAATCAACATCAGCATAAATGGAATGGGGGGGGGAGGAGGAGAACCACCCCTTACCAGCTCAAAATCCCATGTATCTGAAAAGTAAGTCAGTCCCATCTGATTCCAACTACGATTTGTGTGTTTTCTATTCAAATGTCCTCTGATTCAAGTCAGAAACAGAGAAGACGATCATTTTATAGTTGCATGCATATATCAGGGTAACCATTACCATTTCAGTATTCAAACCTTTGTGCTGATTGACAAAGCTTTGTAGCCTTGTAAACATAGCATACTTATGACCATTTTAAAAAGAAGGAAAGAGTAATTATGCAAAGCATGCCACAGATAACATGCTTTAGCAAAACAATTATTTATTCGAAGTGACTATTTCTCCGAACGCTCAGGATAACAAAGTTGAACTCTATTTCTCCTAACGGTTTCCGTTCTCAGGTTTTGTTAGTTATTTGGGCGAGTTCTGCGTCATCTTTCATTTTGCTATTCTGCAAAGACTGGGAAGAAGCATATTTTTTTTTTGGTATCGAATTCCATTTCTAAAGCTAGAGATTTTTAGTTATCTGAATATTCAGATACTTCAATTGTAGTTGGGCAACGTTCCCGGACTATGCATAATACTTCATTTGAAAATGCCTTCAAAAGGTACTGCGAGAAAACAAGACAGCTCGACTTCAGCAGTAACCTATTTTGCATTTAGTCACCCCTAAAGCAAAATAACTAAAACCCTTCATGTAAAAAAAAATCCCTTCATGCCCCCCCCCCCCGTTCACACCTTACACACACACGGGCCACTCCATTCGCAAATAACCACCAAAAAAAAACTCAAGAACGGAAACCGTCGGAGAAATAGAGCTGGCCTTATTTATTGGTCACAAACTACTTACAGTTTGTTCATTTCTTTCAAACTTTGATGCCTCTTTGAAAGCTAAAAGAAATTACAGCCAACAAAGCAGCAACACAGAGCTATTCAGTGGAGACGAAAGCAGAAGACTGAACATGGTATGGTAGAGAGCAGGAAAGGAGTGAAAAGAGAAAACTTCAAGAGAATAAAAATGTCCTACTGTCAGGTTTTGAACCCGGGACCTATTGTATGAGATGCACACACCACAACCTCCAGACCATGAGAACCCCCCTCGGAATATTTCCAGTTCACAATTCCAGAACAACTGTTTAAAGCAAATCGAAATCTGCACCCATCACTTTGCAATTGAAAGTGCTGACCAATTACATTGAGCTGAATACTTCATTAACAAACAAAAATTATCCCTTTTTACAGGAGGATCTTAACTTAAAATTAGTATTCACGTAGGTTAGCTTCATATTTTTCCTCCTGTACTGAAAGACTCTTCAAGAGGACCTGCACCCAATGTAACCGCTGCTTAAACAGACTTTCGACTATAACTGGCAGTTTTTGGGTGGAACTGATTTAACTTTCAGTGAACTCCCTGTTCTCATTAGGAAGTGGCTATCCTAACCCAGGGTGAGAATAAAAATACGATCGACCTCTCACCCCGGGTGAGACTTGCTAGGTTGGCTATTCTCACTCGGTGTGAAACAAGACCTGTTTTTCCTAATTTCGGAATACGGTTTATCGGTGTGGATGATCAAATTGACAAAAGCAAAGAAAAAATGACGTTATAGCACAAAAGTAAGCTGATTTGGTCGCCTACTATGATGCTATGGCTATTTCACTTTTCGAATCGAGCCGAACTACAGGGGTTGCCATTTTGTTTTGCCCGGCAGTTCTTGCAAGATCTACTCCTCCCCTCTCTCTCTCTTTCTGAAAACTGTCTATCGGTGTGGACGATCAAATTGACCAAAACAAAGTTAAAAAATGATGTTAAAACACTAAAGTAAATTAATTTGGTCATCTACAAAGATGCTACGGCTAGTTAAATTTTCGAATCGAGTCGAACAATCCTTCATAGCTTTCTATTCATAAAGTGTTACAAACACATGAATAACCCCCTCTCACAAGCTGATAAGACATTACGAGTAGTTACGCCCATTTGAATAACT